CATGGTGGAGCGACCTCTCCGGAAACCATATTGGTTAGGAGCCAGGTCAGGCCCAACGCTTTCGAGGTGCTGGACGAGGCGACTGGCGACGATGCGCTCGAGGAGCTTACCAGCCTCGTCCAGCACGACGATTGGGCGGTACCCGCTTGGCTCGTCACGTGGCCGGCCTTCCTTAGGAATAAGGACAAGCCGACCAGTCAGTAAGTAGGTACCTACATATCTACCTATGAGGTACTTTATGAGCATTAACAACAATAACATTTAAGTTAAAACACACACACTGGGATAATGAGAAACTGATTACTTGCCATTTCTTGTAATTAATGAATTTACAGTAACAATTTTTAAGAATACTCATAAAGGTACAATTATAACACATTAAAGCTAGAAATAAATTTTAGTTTTTTAACTTAGAACTATGTTATGATATCTTGAAGTTTAGTCGTTCCGATTCCGATTGAGGTTAGGATTCAATTTGAGGTTAGGCCTAGCTAGACGTTACGTAGTCGACAAGCGCGCGCGAGTGTGGCGCGGTAAAATTAAAAATTTTCGATGCGTTCGTTCCCAAACAATTGCCATCATACAAAGTTATTTTAATATATTAAATTAATTAAGGAGCAACAATATATTGTGTCCTAAAATCATTATGTTCAATATGTGGTCCACCTAGGTCCTGGAACCAGCTCAGGGGGGGGTCATGACCCCCATGACCCCCCCCTGGATCCGCCCTTGCTAAGAGAACTGTGGAAAGTTTTTAGCAAATTGTGCTGTTCCGAGGGCTCAACTAGAATTGACTCAGTCGACCTGGTGAAGCTGTAGAGGCTTCCAGGACAACACCAGTCCCTCCTACTACAGTGAAAAAAAATATTTCTATGAACACTCGCAACTCATGAAATAAACAGAAAATAATCTAAAACATGAATAATCTAAAACTTGAAGTCGTCGTGGCCTAAAGGATAAGACGTCCGGTGCATTCGTATCGAACGATGCACCGGTGTTCGAATCTCGCTGGCGGGTACCAATATTTCTAATGAAATACGTACTCAACAAATGTTCATGATTGACTTCCACGGTGAAGGAATAACATCGTGCAGTAAAAATCAAACCCGCAAAATTATAATTTGCGTAATTACTGGTGGCCTACCTACGTGCGGACTCACAAGAGGTCCTAACCTCTTGTGAGTCCACACGAGTAGGTACCACCGCCCCGCCTATTTCTGCCGTGAAGCAGTAATGCGTTTCGGTTTGAAGGGTGGGGCAGCCGTTGTGACTATACTAGTTGTGACTAGACCTTAGAACTATATCTCAAGGTGTGTGGCGCATTTACGTTGTAGATTTCTATGGTCTCCAGTAACCACTTAACACCAGGTAGGGCTGTGAGCTCGTCCACACATCAAAGCAATAAATAAATAAAATAAAAAAAACATTTTATTGGATTAGGATTCCAATATTTTTTTAAATTATTATCGATGTGTTTTTGTTTGTTTGTCCTTCTTTCTTTTCGAAATGAAGTAATGGATAAAGAAACACAGTATCATGATTTTATTCCAAAGTGATAGTATTTGGTCAGGAGAATAACATAAGTTACTTTTTATACCGAAAAAACTTAAAATTCCCATTGAAAACTATACCTACTGACAGTTTTCTTGGACTTTAAATAAGACTTAATAAAGACTAATGGTCTTAGTTACCACGTCATAAAATACCTTTAAAAAAAACTTTGTATGGTTTTTATTTGCTCTGGGGTTTAGAAAACATCCAAATAAATCAAAATAGTAACATAATATTCGACATACCACTAAAAAATATATATTAAAAGAGGACGGTATTATTAATTAAAATAATCTAACTACGTTATTGGTGACAATAATTTAGAAATATCCTTTGACTCTAGCGCAGTTTATTGTTATGATGAATAGAGAATGGCGGACTCTGTCATATTTGGATATCTGTTCATATTTCTGTTGATAAAGCCTAACTATGGTAAGTTTTGATCTTAATGTTACATTTAATTAAGTATGAATGCAGTGACATGTGTTAACTACTACAAAGTTTCTTGAGTGCGTATCAAAAAACTTAGTGGACACCAGCTATCCAAGCTTCGATGTGTGTATATTTACTGCTTTTTTCTTTAAAAAATGATGCCTCAGAGTTGTGTTTTGTTCGTAGTGACAGGCTTGTCGCATATATGAATATATTAAAATATTCCCACGAATTCACAAAAATGATAAATATCAAAGAAAATCTACAAGCTTATACAAAATCCACGCAACATGATCTTGTTTATAAATGTGTATTTTAGAAAAAAAAAAAAAAGTTAAATTTACTAGAAATACATTTTGCCATAAAAATGTCAGCATAAGATTGTTGTATTGATTTTAAAAGTTATTGTTCTATTTTAAATGTTGAATTCATTCTAATGATAAAAGATTGGCTCTTGTCATTATTTGCAATCCAGTACAGTATCTTTTAGCCTTATAATATTTTTTTATGTAGTAGATTAACTATTAAAATCATAATCAAAATTGTTTATTTGAATGTTTTAAATGTGCAAACAAGTATCATTTTTTGTCCTCAGCAAGTCTCCCCAATTTGGATGCATTGGTCCAAGATGGACAGGGCAGGGTCCTACAGCAATTGGAAGATCCGATCACACTCGAAAAGATGATGGTACACCCCCCAAAGTAAGGTTCTTCTGAAATATATCTGAAACTCATAAAATAATTTAAATGAATGAAACGATACAGAAAAGTTTAGAGTATGAGACATCCATTGTTGAAATGCAATTGAAATTTTCATAATCTAGCTTGTTACTGTGACTTAAATTATGGCTGAATGATTTGACCCAATAATATTCCTGCCCATTAATGTCATTTAAGATGATTAAGGACTTTATTGAGCTGCAGAAAGGCCGTTTTAAAAATAATTAATATTGACCTCATTATGATACTCAGGTTATATTTATTGTCTACGAGTTTTAGAGGTCACTTAACACTGAGCATGCTCACCCAAATGTGCAATTTGATATGTCACAGCACATATGGGTGACTATGTATCAGGTATGGTGACTATTTAATACGAGATTGACTCTGGACTGCTTGATATATAGAATACAATAAAAAAACACCATTAATCTATCATAGGCTGTATTATGATACAGTCAAACCTGGATAAGTGAGAACTGGATAAGTAAGAAAACTCTATAAGTGAGAGTAATAGCAAGGACCCGTCATTTTAAGCTCCCAAAACCTCTATTAGTGAGAAACAGAAACCTCTGTAAGAGAGAGTCGTTTTTTCCTCATGGACCTCCGTAAGTGAGACTGCTACCTATCTATACCTCTATAAGCGACAGCCGAGCTTTATTTATATTTTTATATTATTTAGGAGGAACAAATGACAAAACAAATTACAAATTTAACATCTGCTATTTTATGACTCATTTTTAACTTTCGTGGAACTTCTTATCATTGTTTTTGTATTGTTTTCTCGTGAATATTGAACCTATTCTATTTCGTGGAACTAAATAACGTTGTTATTTTATCGTATTCTTTTATCGCATTATTTTCGAATGGACACGTGTGCCTGTGTACCGTCCTGTTTGTCGGACTTACTCAGTTTATCGTTAATCAATTGCGAAGGAAAGTTCTGTTCTGCATCATGTAAAAACGGAAAATTAAAGTACTGTCATTAAAGTCATAAACTTAAAATAGTAAATGGATTTGAATGCGGAAAATCGCGAATCGAAATTCAGAGGGAGCATTAGCGAGAAACTCGGGTTAGTGAGAAACCTCTATAAGCGAGAATGAGATTGTGCTCCCTTGAACTCTTATACTATCCAGGTTTGACTGTATATGACTAATGATATTATAGAGTAGTAACAATATATTACTGTATCAGTATTTAAAATTAGTTTACTCAAATTTTATAAGTAAACAGTAACATTAACAATTTGAGTTGTTTAATGATTTTCTCTTTTTATATTAAAGCATATATATATATATATATATATATACATTGTTTATGGTAAAAAGGGACTAAAGGTAATTTTAAATTTACTAACGTTTATTGTTATGCGCACTAAGGAGGGACAGATTTCAAAAGAGGTAATAATCATATATTTTACTTGTATCGTTGTTAATTTGGCCCAAAGGATTCTTGCTTTTTTTTTTGTATTAAGTGATGTGACTATGCCAGCTCTTAAATCATGTTACTAATGATGCTAAATTGTATCTTTGGAATACTTCATGGGATTACAGCCCCGAAGAGATATTTACAAGTTTTCAATAATAAGCTCATTAAAATATATATTAGATACATTAAAAGCACCTTATTCATGCTTCCTTCATTCGCGTTTTCACTGTTCGCGAATAAAAAAATGCAACCCAAATCCTATGTTTGCGGCTAAACATTTCTTTGTTCATGTATCTAATCGGTACATTCACATTGATAAAAAGGATTCCAATATGTAGGAATTCAACCAAATATCCTTTGTAAATGTTAAATGATATTATGCCGCTGTATTGGTTCCGCCTTTGACTGCAAATATAACCAACAGTGTGAATAGGAGATGGTTCGAATAGATAGAATCAAGTGACATTCAGAAGTTGCTTAGATATCAAGATGATGAATAGACAGATCTTGGAGGAAATGTTAAATTCAAAGCCCATTGAAGAAGAAGCTTCAACAAGCATTTGAAAAATCTTGGTGAAGGCAAGAATGGCAAATGAGCTTGTGATTTCTTTATGAAAATTGATCTGAAGTCTTATTTTTCTTATTCTATGGAGTGAAGTCTTGTTTTTAAGAAACAAATTGCTACTGCAACTGCTCGATATCAGTCTGAATTGAGAATGCTTTTAAAAACGGACAAGCAAGAAAAAAATACAAAATTCTTTAAACCAATTTCGAAACCTGAACATAATAATTAATCAATATGGTCAAAAAACTTCAATTAAAATCTTTTTTTAATACTAGTTTGTTACCTACGAACATTCCCTATAATCACATATTGTTATATTATTATGTAAATTACCATTCCATATTCACGGTTTCTGTATTCGTGGCGTATTTACGGAACTTTCAGCTAGTGAATAAAGAGATTTTACTGTAATTAAAACTGTATAATGGAATATCTGGCTTGGGACAATTACAATGTATAGCAATCACAATGATTAATAATTAATTCAAGATACAAATGTCACCTCTGCGAACCCCCCGACTGCGAATCTGGTGTCCAGAATATATGCGTCGACGCCCTATATTGCTTCAAGTCCTCGGTGAGGGAGTCCAATGGAGAGCTGCAGCACTCAAGGGGTTGCTCCGATAAGAACGATCACTACCAGTTCATATGTCGCTCAAGTACGAGGCAAGGGTGAGTTTGAAAAATTACATAGATACTATTTCCTATTATAATAAGTACTAGCTGACCCGGCAGACTTCGTATTGCCTCAATCGATCAATAAAGAACCTAAACTTTTGTATAAAATAAACTTAAAACAAACAAAAGGAATCCGTCCGACGGGGGACACATTAAAGGGAAAACAAAATTGTTATTTTTATTTATTTCCGAGAATTTTCATATTTATATACCTTTTAAACCTTCTCTGGACTTCTACAAATAATTCAAGACCAAAATTAGCCAAATCGGTCCAGCCGTTCTCGAGTTTTAGCGAGACTAACGAACAGCAATTCATTTTTATTTAAATAGATAGATTACTAAAATAAAGATAACAAGCAAAGAACTAAAGATCCATCATGACTGCAATAAAAACTTGTGCATTACCCAATTACGATTTATTCATGGTTAATAATTTTTTATTAGTATTGCTAAGTATGCAGAAGATGAGCATACGGTCTACCTGATGGTAATTAGTCACTGTCGCTCATTGACATCAACCGTTCAAGTCATCATTCAATTCACCATGGAAGTCAATCGTGAAGATTTCTTAAATACGTATTTAATTAGAAAAATTGGTACCCGCCTGTGGGATTCGAACACCGGTGCATCGCTACATACGAATGCACCAGACGTCTTATCCTTTAGGCTGCGACGACTTAAATTGTGTCGATTTGATTATGATGGGCGTGTGAGTGATATAATATGTTGTCGTGTCGTGCAGGGTCCACAAGCGTCACGCCGGTCAGCTGAACGTGACGTGCTGCACGGGGGACATGTGCAACTCGGGCGAGTTCCCGGCGCTGTGGGAGGCGGCGCGGGCGGGGCGCGCGGCCTGGGAGCCGTGGGCGGGCGGCGCCGCGGCCGTGCTGCTGCTGGCGGCGCTGCTGACGGGCCTGCTGCTGCTGCTGCAACGAGCCCACAGGTCGGTCACGACCCCCTCCCAGGCTGTGAGCTTGTCCAATCATCTAAGCAATAAAAAAAAAATCGTATTGGATGTGTGTTCCAGGCTGCGCGTGTCGCGGACTGCCCTGGACAAACTCCGCTCCGAGGCGAAGTACTTCTCATTCAATGTCTACAACCAGCACATGAACAACGCTTATTACGAAGGTCAGTTTGTATGTTTTAGTTTTTTTTTTTATTTCTACCGGATCCCCGCGATCACATCCAGTACACCAGCCAATCAATACCAGTTGACTTGCTCGGTGTGAATGAAACCACTGTAACCTCTATACCTACTCGACTCGTTGCGTNCAGCGCCATCTGTGAGATTTTTTAATACTAACGTGTGTATGAAAGCTCTTGTAGTGAATTTTAATTTAGGATTATACGTGAAATTAAAATATCAATTCACAGAGGGCGCTACCTTACAATTATTTACCAATGACAAAATTTTACATATACTTAAGACGTTTAGGATAATTGTATTTTAATTTTGGAAGGTTTCACTTCTACCGCGTGTGAATTGCACACATGTATTTTTTTATTTCTACCGGACCACCGCGATCACATCCAGTACACCAACCAATCAATACCAGTTGACTTGCTCGGTGTGAATGAAACCACTGTAACCTCTATGCTACTCGAATTGTTGAGTGATGTGGTAGTGACTAACGCGTATCCACCGGTCGCAGGTGCGGAGGGCTCGCAGCCGGGCTGCGTGGCGGTGGCGGCCGGGGACTCCACGCTGCGCGAGTACCTGGAGGGCTCCCTCAGCTCGGGCTCCGGCTCGGGCCTGCCGCTGATGGTGCAGCGCACGCTCGCCAAGCAGGTCACGCTGTACGACTGCGTCGGCAAGGTACTTTCTATTTTTTTTATCTTATCTATATATAAATACGTGAAGCAAAAACTTTGTATCCCTTTTTACGAAAATTGCGCGGATGGAGGAAATCGATCGAATTTTTATTGATTTAATGTATCTTTTATGCATTATTTAAAAAAATATTAGCATTGTGCACTTCTTCTCTATATTCTCTATGAGTATGAAAAATTTCATACTCCTCCGTCCGCGCAATTTTCGTAAAAAGGGATACAAAGTTTTTCCTTCACGTATTAATTTTTTGATAACATGTTCAGTGCCGGCCGAACATCTTAGTAAGCAATAACGCCACGCTGCACTTTTATTTAAAGTTGCAATTGATCAGTAGTATCAACAGTCGTTTAACAACCTGGTTACGCGGAAGTCGAGTTCGGTCCTCGCGACCGTAACATTTAACATTAATATTTATTAATTAAAATATTAACATAATATAACATATGACAATAACATTTTGAACATAGAACATTTGTAAGTGATTGTGTGTATTAAAGTGAGTTAGTAAAATCCGGAGTTATCATTAGTAAACAAATACTGCACCCCAGCTCTGTGCCCCCCCCTTGTATTGTATTTTTTGACTTGTTTTTTCGTTTATTGTAAATATTTTTAATTTAAAAAAAAAAGAAATATTTGAGAAAAAAACAAAAAAAACCGCTGAGTGTGTTTCGCCGGTTCTTCTCAGGACTGTGGCTCTTTTTGGAACCGGTAGTAGAGTTAACATTATTATTTATATGTTGACATTCAACAAGTGTTATGCTGACGTCTAAGTTGAAATAAATTGAATTTTGAATTTGAATTTGACATAACATTTAATAACATAACCGTGTCTCGTCCCCAGGGCCGCTACGGCGAGGTGTGGCGCGGCTCGTGGTACGGGGACAGCGTGGCGGTCAAGATCTTCTTCTCGCGAGACGAGGCCAGCTGGAAGCGCGAGACCGAGGTGTACAGCACCGTGCTGCTGCGCCACCAGAACATCCTGGCCTACGTGGGCAGCGACATGACCAGCCGCGGCAGCTGCACGCAGGTCCGCACGAGGGTCATGTCGTGGAGACTAAACATTACCCATTTAACATGAACCTTCATTGATATTCCGATGAATATTCTTTGGTCCTATTGGAGGCTCTAAGAGTTCTACACAGCGCGAAGTCAACTCCAGTCAAGGACTTAGTTAAATGTGTTTTTTTTTTGTATTGCTTAAATGGGTGGATGAGCTCACCGTCAACCTGATGTTTAGTGGTTATTGTTAAGGAAATCTTCAAACGCTTCACAGTAGAAATATGCAAGGCGATAGTAGCTATCCTTACGGACTCACAAGGCGCTCTCCCAGCAGTGTTTCCATAGCATCTAAAATAATAATGACATCCAGCCCCCTTTGCTGCCAGATCTTTAATTTAGTCTTGATACAATTGCTTTCAAACTATTCCCTACTAATGTCATCAATATTGATCAATCCATCCGGAGTCTACAGAAAGCGCGCCTGCTTCCACACACCTCCAGACTTTGAATATGTCATGGTCCGGTGACGTCACAACCCTCACGGCCCGCTTGTGGTTCCAGCTGTGGCTGATCACGCAGTACCACCCGCTGGGCTCGCTGCACGAGCACCTGCAGCGCGGCACGCTCTCCCGCCAGCAGCTCGCCGCGCTCAGCCTGTCCGCCGCCAGCGGCCTGCTGCACCTGCACACGCAGATACACGGCACCCAGGTGACCCTCACCCACACAACACCACAGCACTTATTACAATACGAACTAGACTCCAATTTGCAAAGTCGACTAAAAACCTTGAGTGACATCTGTTGGACTGCACTATATATGTACCCACCTATGCTGATAACCTTGAGAGGCTATTTCAGCTTCGCCTTAACATGTAGGTGAGTTCACGGGGCTCAAACCAGAGTGTTGCTAACACTGGCTCTAGTAAGAGCAGTGCTTCGTAAAATCTACCACCGGATCGGAAACGCGACCCACTGAGAAGTTCCGGCGAGAAACTCAGTGGGCTGTGTCTGTGGGTTAATTCGCTCGTCGAGCCCTTCGTCGCAAGCGACGTGTTCGACGAGGACGGTGACCGGACCACACGACAACAAACATCACTAGTTTGTATAGAGTTGGAACAGCGCCCCTAGCGGCAAACGAACGGAAGCTGTTTCAACTCCATACAAATTTGTGTTAATTTGTCGTAATGCCACTTAACTAATCTAGTGCTGCTAACAGCTTGAAATTGTTGGTGAAAGTTAGTTTGATGTGGTTCCAATACAATTGACAAAGCCACTTATTAACTGAAAATGATTTCTGCATTAAAAAAAAAGTTAATTATTGATTTAATCATTAAATCAATGATCATCTGATCATCTGAATCAATGTGCTGATATATTATAATATGTAGTAATTAACCAAAAAAACTACATTCAACAATTCATATTCACATTAACCAATTCTCTTATTAGTAACACAAGCCTTGAGAATGGGGAATAGAATACAATAAGACTGGGAGTTTTTTCGCAGGAAACCTGAGCAATGATATTGTCCAAAGAGAACAAAATTTATTGACATAGTGTGCTTAAATAGAGAACAACCAAGCATAGTCTATTACACTGCAAATGGCTGGTCTAATTTGAATGGAATTTATGAAGATCCTGATGATGATGATAAAAAGCAGCAGTAGGCAACGGCTTGGCTCTGCCCCTGGCATTGCTGAAGTTCATGGGCGACGGTAACCACTCACCATTGGGTGGGCCGTATGCTCGTCTGTTTACAAGGGCAATAAAAAAATGTAAAAAAATATTCCCAGGGTAAACCTGCGATAGCACACCGGGACATTAAGTCCAAGAACATCCTGGTCAAGGTGAATGGGGAGTGTTGCATCGGAGACCTCGGGCTCGCCCTCACTGCGCAGCACATCGAGCAGGGCCAGCAGCTGCACAACCCTCGCCAGGGGACCAAGAGGTACATGAGCCCCGAGATGCTGGACCACACGTGAGTACTCCGGTACACTTTTTTGTAGCTATACAGTAGTGTAGGCTCAGGCCACATGGGCCTCTGTTGTACCTTTTTATTTATTTATTGCGTAGGTGCGTGGACGAGCTCACAGCCCATCTGATGTTAAGTGGTTACCCGAGCCCATAAACATCTACAACGTAAATGCCGTCACCTACCTTGATATAATAGTTCTAAGGTCTCAGTTTGTACAGTACCTGTTTCTGTCCAATCCAAGAATTACTTCTCCGGGCTTAGAATTTGATCTCATGTTTCAAGGAGAATGACATTCTCGTCGTGGTACATGTTTATGGGCTTTAACTACAAAGCTATATCGGGTTAATATAGCCCATCTGAATCCAAACTAAAAAATGTTCCGTGAACAGTACTTGTCCAGACTAAATCTAGGGAGCCTGAATCCTATAATTACTTATAGACCATCAACAATGATCACCAGACGGAGGTATCTATCTAATTATTAAACCATGAATCCAAACTAAAGACTCAACTATTAAAAACATGTTCCATAAACAGTACTTGTTAAGACAAGTCTAGGGAGCCTGAATTCTATTATTACTTTTAGACCATCAACAATGATTACCAGACGGAGGTGTCTTGATTAAATTAAAATGGTTATTACATCATTTTGCGAAATACATTTTTTTTTATATCAAACTGAACATGAATTATTTCGTATGACGTCATACGTGGCTGATCTCTTTGTAAACATTTGACAGCTATTTTTTCTTCTCAAAATCTAAAAGCAGTTGAACTAGTTGTGTTTGTGTTCCAGCATGCAGACGGACTGCCTGGACGCGTACCTGCGCTGCGACGTGTACGCGCTGGGGCTGGTGCTGTGGGAGCTGTGCCGCCGCGTGCCCCCCGCGCGCCCGCCCGCGCCCCCCTACCACCACCGCGCGCCGCCCGACCCCTCCTACGAGGACATGCGCAAGATCGTCTGCGTGGACCGGGACCGACCCGAGCCGCTGGACTACCACGATCATCCGGTAACTTTTATTGCTTAGATGGGTGGACGAGCTCACAGCCCACCTGGTGTTAAGTGCTTACTGGAGCCTATAGACATCTACAACGTAAATGCGCCATCCACCTTGAGATATAAGTTCTAAGGTCTGAAGTGTAGTTACAAGGACTGCCCCGCCCTTCAAACCGAAACGCATTACCGCTTCACGGCAGAATGACTTAGTGTAAATACAATTTCCAGACAATGGTCTCAATGTGGAAACTGATCCAAGAGTGTTGGCACCACAACCCGTCGGCGCGCCTCTCCGCGCTGCGCGTCAGGAAGACCTTACTGAAGATTGCGGCAGCGGACGAGTCCATACACCTCAACGAGGACAACGAGGTGTCCCTGTAGCCCACGGGCCCAATGCTCTCTGCCACAAAGAGAATTGTGAGTCTGCGTATGGATGTGATCGAGACCACTGACTACGTCTTCAACATGTCAACTGGCTTGGCAATAAGTTTAAGTACATTGTGTACGTAAAACTGACTTATTGTAAATAAGTATATTATGATAAGATTATAACACTAATTAATAGTGTGTTAGATATTTTTTTTGTATTTGACGTGTTATTTGTGAGTGGCCGCGCTGGGGACGCATAGGCGGCTGCACTAGCTCACGGTTCAATAAAGGCAATGTCAATGTCATTATCCGTTTTGACATACGAGGTTGAGGTTCCAATTGTACTGTACACCGACAGCCCCGCCCTTTAAACAGAACTGCACTGAGCTTCGCGGCAGGAGTAGACGGGGCAGTGGTACCTACCCGCGCGGCAACGTCTGAGCCCTACCACCAGACTTCTATTGTCTTTGTTTTTCCTTTTTTCTGTTTCTCAGTCGCGGTACGATTTATTGAGGGTATATTGAAATCGTTTTCAAAACGACGTTGTGGGTTCTGGTGATCCCTAATACGGTTAAATATAATTTAAATACCTTTGCACTTCAAAGAGCAAGCAATGTAACGCGTTTATGAGCTGCCGCCGCAATCGCAAGCTCACAAAAAGGTCACGTGCATGTACCGAGTTGTAAACGGTTACCGTTAACTAGGCCAGTAGTCTGTTTAAATTTCGGCTCCAATATCAATGTACCCACAATATAAAAAAATTTCAATACATCGCTCGCTATGTTCTAGCATAACAATTCTGTGAATTCGCTCTCTATTTTTGTTATGATAGGGCGTGTTGTGAGCTTGTCCGGGTAGGTACTACGAACCTGCCCAATTCTGCCACGATGTAGTCCTGCCTCCCGGACGATGCAGTCGTGCCTCCGGGGGGTGGGGCAGTCGGTGTATAGTTGAAACTTTGGAAGTCTCAAGTTGGGCGGCGATATTCGCATACTGATATCTATGGGCCCCTGTGGCCGCTTAACACCACGTGAACTGTGAGTACATTCACACTTCTGCGTTATAAAAGAGACGGAAAATCACCGAGTCGGTTCGTAAACTTGAAATAATTCAAATTGTAGACAAATATTCTGGGTGTTAGGAGAATACTTCCAAAATTGAAGATTTGTACCTATAAAGTTGTACATTTTGGGGATCGCGGTCCCCGCCGCGCCCGGGCGTTCGTTGACCCGAGCATCAGCTGTTTTTGATTTTGTGTTTCATTGCTGTCTTTTTTTAAAAGTAAAATAATTAATCTTTTATGGAACTATCATTTCATTTAGCTGTGTTTCATTAGCATGAAGAAGCGTAAATAATGCTAATAAAACGTTGTAAAAATGTTTTTTTTAAAATCAGGATCGATTTTTTCCGTCCCATCATCAAACGGCCGTCTGGTGTAGTGGTAAGTGACATGGTCACTACACAAGGGGGTCGCGGGTTCGAATCCCGCCAAAGGAAGATATTTGTAAGATAAATATAAAATGTCTTTTCCAGGGTTATGGATGTATATTAAATATATGTATGTGTATAATAAAAAAATCTTACATTTATATCCGTTATCTGGTACCTGTAACACAAGTTCTTTACGAACTTATCACGGGACCTGTTAACGTGGCGTGATTGTTAGTAACAAAAAAACAGTCATTAGTACTATCGTCTGTCTTCGTTTTCGGAAGCGGTCTCCTAACACCCAGTATGAGGGGTTGTCATTCGCTTGATTTTGACCAACGGCGAGTAGCTTTCAACTAAACGGAGAGTGCTTCGCCGTGGAGTGGGGCGGGTGTAGGTACCCCCCACTGCTCCACTCCCAAAAACATTTAGGTTAAATGAGGAGCAGCTAGTTGAGCTAGTTGAGAGTATATCACTCCCCACTGGCAAAGAGGGGAGCGTGCGGACATTGACCCCCCCACTGAAATATTTTAGAAATCTTTTTTCGTTGTATATAAATGTGTGTATATAATAAACATATAAGTTTGTTATTAACGTAGACTGACAGTGGAGCTGTAATAGTTATGCATTTAATTAGGAGAAGTGTTTGTGAAGTCATCAGCTGAACTCACTGTGACCGATCGTAGCGTGTCCGGCTGACTTTTTACTGGTGGTAGGACCTCTTGTGAGTCCGCGCGGGTAGGTACCACCACCCCGCCTATTTCTGCCGTGAAGCAGTAATGCGTTTCGGTTTGAAGGGCGGGTTAGCTGTTGTAACTATACTGAGACCTTAGAACTTATATCTCGAGGTGGGTGGCGCATTTACGCTGTAATGTCTATGGGCTCCAGTAACCACTTAACATCAGGTGGGCTGTGAGCTCGTCCACCTATAGAAGCAATTAAAAAAAAACGACTCCGGCGAACCTTAGGAGAGTACGCACGTGAGCCGACCGGGTCCGAGTCTATACGATAAGATTGGGGATCTTGTATCATCACTAGGTGACTCGGAATAGTATGAGTTATATGAGCACGCAAACTTCCGACGCGCAATGTAAACTTGCCGGACGCGACGTACATTGCGCGCTCGACATGTGTTTTCTCAAACTAACAGGTTTTACTGCGAACTCTGTTTGTTTTTAACTATATAAGTTTAAATTAATCTCCTGCGTCGGTAGGGACGTGCAATCGAGTGCTGCAGTCACGTGTTTAATTGTGACAAATTTTGTATTATCCAAGTCTACAAAGCATAATGGAATCGTGTTCAGTTTAAATTGTATATTATTATTAATATTATAGTCATTGTTAAACTAATTAAATAGGTAATAATATTGTAAAGAGAATAAAAGTATTTGTATATTAATTTCGTGTTTTATTCTTGTTGGAATACATGATGTTTGCTTCGCTGCGACATATTGAGGGTAGAAGTAAGAAGCGCCATCTTGTATAAAGGTTAAGTTGAAAAAGTCCACCTGTCTACAGCAAGTTATTGTTGGAAGACTCATCGAAATAGCGCTAGTGTGGGGAGTAGATAAAATGAATAGCAGTTTTAAACTTAATGAAGAAGTGTGTTGGAGTGACAAATTTAATATTTTTCATGACCTTTGTAGTTAAAAAATATGCAGTATTGAAAATCTCAAAACTATTTATTTGTAATTACTATTTACGTAGGAAGCGTTTCTGTTCTCAATTTAGTATCTTACTCTAATAGTTGATGGCGCTGTTTTTTTAATCTTTCCACTTGCTACAGTGGCGCCATCTTAATTGAGTCCCTTTTAGCGAACACTTTAATACACTGAGATTGTGCTCATTACTTCTACCCTCCATACTGCTACTATAAAAGCAGCTTATAAACTGGCTTCACACAATATCATGCAAAAAAAAATGTTGCATCGCATTCCAGTTAAAATTTGATGCAGGTGAAACCGGTGCTATAACTACGTCAATATATCAAACTAAATTAATTTTATCAAGGTAGATCCCAGGCAGCGGCGCAGTGGACGCTATTGCCGACCGCTGGTTCGATGTGGTATTTATTGTTGCCAATGCAAAGTTCCTGATTGAAGAACGCAATGTTGTCAAAAAAAGTTTTTTAATATTAGTTTGCAAAATTTACATTGCTTCTTTTCTAAATATAGAGGTGATAGTTTCTTCAATCGTAATTTTGAGCACATCATTAAATTTACGGAATGATCCAAACATTACGAATTGCGATGAAGGTCCCACCAAAAGCTGACAAACACTGATCTAAATATAAACTCAACATTACAAATGCATTACAATGCTAAGGCGTTTCTTTATTGATATCCATGTTTCCCTAGTGTCTGCTCGACTTCCTTGACGTACTTCTCAGATACCTTCTGCTGTCTCATGGCGGCCACCTGAATTTAATTAAATCAAGCGTTTTAAAAACTAAAAACGTAATAACAAGAAATAATATAAATAAACAGTTTTTACTTCGCTGACATTGGCAGTGACCATATTTGGATAAGTCTGAATTGAGGCTAAATTCAATTGATGATGATTTTGACTGTGCTTGTCAGAATGAATAAATAATTGCTTGGAGACAGAAGTAAGCCTGACTTCTATACTAACTAGACTAACTAGACTAAACTTATAACTAAAAGTGATACCTATTGTTTCAACGGGTGGCGGCAACCACATTGTGATATCTATGGGCTGTGCAAATCACTTAGTAGCCAGGGCTGTGTGTGTGATTGGCTGTCTAGAGCAAAACCCTCTGCTTTAAAAACACGGCATACTGACACCAAATTATATTTTTTTTTTTTAATTTTTTTTCCTACCTAAACTTGAGAGGCTATTTCAGCGCAACCTTAACTATTAGGTGAGCTCACGGGGCTCAAACCTGACGAAGTTGCTAACACGAACCCTAGCAAGAGCCGTGCTTCACAGAATCTACCACCGGATCAGAAACGCGACCCACTGGAAGAACCGGCGAGAAACTCAATGGGCTGTGTCTGAGGGTTAATTTACTCGTCGAGCCCTTCATCGCAAGCGACGGGTTCGACGAGAACGACGACCGGTGCTTGAGGTACCTAAAAGCAACGTTAGTGGATCGGGAGGATCCAAAATGACGTGTTTTGGGCAATTTTCAGAAGATTTACCTTCTGCTTAATGACATTTCTTTCGTATTTATCCTGCTGTTGCTGCTCCATCCTGAGAGCGACTCCTTCCCTCTGCAGCTTCTCTCTCAGCTCAGCACGAGCGCGTTCCTTCTCGTTAATCTGCCGCATGATCTCTTGCCTGTGCTTCTCGACGCGAGCTTTACGTTTCTCATCAAGCTTTGGGCGAAGAAGAGTTTTCATTATTAATATTAATAATTTATTCTCGAAGTGGGCAGTAGAGCCAGTCTTGTTGCTTTTATTTTTAAATCACATTTTAATAATAATACTAATAAAATACGAACATTCAATGGCTCTAAAGTATTTTTTTTGTGCTGTTAGTGCACAAGATCCGCTGAGGATCTCAGTGGGCTGTATCTGTGCGTTAATTTGCTCGCCGACATATTATTTACGTACGCGTTAAAATGTTAATACGAATTCAAGTAATTGTGCTCAAACCTAACTTGAATTTAACACTATTTTTTCGAAATATCTGTCAACTACATTTATGTACAAACCTCCTTCTCTTTCTGTATGAACTCTTCGTTCTGTCGGGCGGCGTTGTTGAAGCTTTGTTCATCTTTCGCAATCTCTCTCGCAATGAGACGATGTATGTCTTTGATCTGTTAGAACAAGGCTAATTTTTGTTATAAAAATCATGGCTGTCATTATGGTACATTTAATATGGTGCAGACGTATGTAACATTTAGCTATCAACTTAATAGTCCGTCTATTTTTGGCGGGAAGCAGACCTGCCTTAGTACTCGAATTGTAGAACAGCACTTCTTTCAGTAGACTTATTTTTACTGGTGTAGGACCTCTTGTGAGTCTGCGCGGGTAGGTACCACCACCCTGCTTATTTCTGCCGTGAAGCAGTAATGAGTTTCGGTTTGAAGGGTGGGTGGGAAGGTTCGGTAGAACTTATATCTCAAGCTGTGTAGCGCATTTACGTTATAGATGTCTATGGGCTCCAGTAACCACTTAACACCAGGTGGGCTGTGAGCTCGTTCACACATCTAAGCAAAAAAAAAAAACAAGACTCCTATTTAATAAAGTCGACTAAAATTCGTTTGCTTAATGATATCTATCACCTAGAGTGACATCTGTTGTATTTCAGGATATATGTTTTTTTGCTACCTCTGCTGATAGCCTTGAGAGGCTATGTCAGCTTCGCCTTAACGTGTAAGTGAGCTCACGGGGCTCAAACCGAGAGTATTGCTAACACAGACCCTAGCAAGAGCAGTGCTTCGCAGAATCTTTCATCGGATCGGAAACGAGAAGATCCGGCGAGAAACTCAGTGGGCAGATATATATGCCACGTCCTCTAGACTATCGCACCAACAAATAGAAGTGCTATACTGTCATAGAATATTAACTCAGCTTTAAGACAAAACACAGCCAAATGCTGTCTCTGTAAAACTCTTTAGTTAAGCGAATGCACTAACCTGCTGAACCCTAGCTTCGTGTAATTGTTTCATCTCCTTGTTCCTCTTGATAGCGGCGTCCCTCTCTTTCCTCCTGTACTCCCTCTCAACGTCCTCCTGTATCTTCAAGTTCCGTATCCTCTCTAACTCTTCTTTCAGCTCTTGCTCTGCCTATATCGTGAACTGTTCATATAAACCACGGCAGCGCACATGTAATAATCTTTCCGACTATTAGACTATTACATACGGGTATATTAGACCCCAGACTGCTTGAGCTATGAATAATTTAATAACCCACGGTGAAAGAATAACATCGTGTAATAAAAATCAAACCCGCAAAATTATAATTTGCATAATTAAGTGGTAGGACCTCTTGTGAGTCCGCACGGGTAGGTACCACCACCCTGCCTATTTCTGCCGTGAAGCAGTAATGCCTTTCGGTTTGAAGGGTGGGGCAGCCGTTGTAACTATACTTGAGACCTTAGAACTTATATCTCAAGGTGGGTGGCGCATTTACGTTGTATATGTCTATGGGCTCCAGTAACCACTTAACACCAGGTGGGCTGTGAGCTGGTCCACACATCCAAGCGATAAAAAAAACAGTCCGTACTAGTATTTTAGTAACCTCAACTTAACCTTCCTACAAGTCTGCTCCTGTCCAAGCTACGTAAAGCCAAAATTCCTCTCTGTTAGTAGACTACAAGTCCCCGTTTCTTACAGTGACCATAACCGTCACCCAGGCAATGACTGTCACCCTCTTACCTTCTGCGCCTTAGCGATGTGGTCGATGCCCTTCTGCTTAGCAGCCTTAACGGCCTCAGCATCAGCCCTGGCTTTGGCCTCTCGCTCTTGCTTCTGCTTTAAGAAGTTAGAGATCCTCAAGTTCATTATACGTTCCTCTTCGTTTTGTAATTGCTTGAAGTAGAGAAGTTCTGCGTTACCTGAAGGACAAAATAATTTCCTATGTTTTTTATCAGCTCATAAGCCGGTAATCTTTCGCGTAGGAGAAGAGGTATTTTGAGAGCACCATTCTTCTTTTTAAAGTACTATTTTGTAACAAAGATATACAATTATGGAGTATTGTTTCATTGCTATAATATCTACAAGAGTCGCATAAGTTTTTATTGCTTAGATGGGTGGACGAGCTTATAGCTCACAGCCACGACTACCCCACCTTTCAATCCCAAATGCATTACTGCTTCACGGCTAAAATAGGCAGGGCAGTGGTACCTACACGCGTAGACTCACAAGAGGTCCTACCACCAGTAAAAAATAGACTGGGTGGTGACTTCAACCATATCTCCACGTTATTACTGCACCATAATTACATATAAACAAGGGTTATTACAGCTCCCCCTTTTTGACGAAGCATGACCTCATAAGACCCTTGCGAATTTCGAAGTCAATGTGACTGGAATTGCTCTTTCCGTATATAAAAAGATGACGCTATAAATGAGTAATTATCTCACCTTGATCGAGCATTTCCTTAAGCTTCAACTGCCTCTCGTGTTTCTCTTTGAGTTTCTGGGCTTCATCGATCTGCATCGCTATGTTGGCTTGGTTCACTCGTATGCTCTCCTCTTCAATACGCTCAGCCTCCATTATCTGATTACATATGATGCAATGGTATCCTCTATTAGTAAGTAAAGAGAATGTAGGAATTGTCCATTGGTATCCCCAAAAATAATATTTGATATGTTTGTTAGTGATCTAAGACGCACAGGTCTGTTATTCAGTTAAGCTCAATGTATCTTCGACAAATGCCAGAATCGCGATAACCATGTTTTCAATATTACATACAATAATATACACGTTCCGCACAATAACATTTGGGCCGTCTTTCTATGTTTTTATTTTTTGATCGCTTAGATGGGTGGACGAGCTCACAGCCCACCTGGTGTTAAGTGGTTACTGGAGCCCATAGACATCTACAGCGTAAATACGCCATCCACCTTGAGATGTAAGTTCTAAGGTCTCAAGTATAGTTACAACGGCTGCCCCGCCCTACAAACCGAAACGCATTACTGCTTCACGGCAGAAATAGGCAGGGTGGTGGTACCTACCCGTGCGGACTCACAAGAGGTCCTACCACCAGTAAATATGCAGCAATCACACCGCTTGGTGGAAGATCTTCGCTTTGTCACATCAGGTTTGCTCATCTGCCTTCGCAGGCAATAACAGAAAGGGCCTTTCCGAAGACGGATGATTGTGTCGAGACGCTAAACTTGAACCACTTTGCCGGGCCTTACCTTGGCTTGTTCGTGAGCCTGAATCTGTTCTTTCAGAGCTGCCAGGTTCTGAAGGCGGAGGTGGTGGCGACGAGCCTCCTCCGTCTCCGAGCGATGTACCGCTGCTTTACGATTCTCCTCCATAATGGCATCGAGTCTGTTAACACCACGGAAATTATTGAAGAATGTGGTAGCAATGCTAATAAATTGGGGCCATAAAAATACTTCCAGAACTTAATACTCGTAGGTGTTAGGGTTAATGAAATGGACTGCTACTCCCGGCCGTCGTTCTCGTCGAGCCCTTCGTCGCAAGCGACGAGTAAATTAACCCACAGACACAGCCCACTGAGTTTCTCGCCGGATCTTCTCAGTGGGTCGCGTTTCCGATCCGGTGGTAGATTCTGCGAAGCACGGCTCTTGCTAGGGTTCGTGTTAGCAACGTCATCAGGTTTGAGCCCCGTGAGCTCACCTACTAGTTAAGGTGACGCTGATATAGCCTCTCAAGGTTCAAGCTTAGGTAAGAAAAAAAACTGCTACTGCGCCCTGTCCGAGTTCTGTTCTCATCTCAATATTTCGTAGTTTCTCGGAATCTAGCAAGTACACTTTTACCACTGAAGATTCTAGTTCAGGGCACTTAAATGAGAAACTTAAAAAAATATTAATTAATAATTTTTGATCAAGTCGGTTGTGGAATAGTTAGTACCCCTGACTGTTGCGCCGAGGGTCGTGGGTTCGATTCCCACATCGGGCTAACATTCGTGCGATGAACATGTTTGTTTGCCCATTCTCTGGGTGCTATTATCTATATATTTATATATTTAAACGTGAATAAGTATGTATATCAGTCTCTGGTACCTATAACCCAGGAAATCCTAAATTGGGGTCGGATGGCAGTGCGTGATTCGTTCCCAGCTATTTATTATTTATTTATATTAGATGTTATGCTGCGTTTAAAGTATACCTCTGTTGTTCCTCATCGAGCTCCTTCTTGATGAGGTCCTTCTCCGCGATCTGAGCGTCTCTGATGGCGTGACACTTGGACGCCAGGATGATGCGGTTGCAGAGACGGGGACCCTGCATGTTGTCCGCCCGCAGAACTGGATATTAAAACGATTTTTTTTATTGCTTAGGTGGTTGGACGAGCTCACAGCCCACCTGGTGTTAAGTGGTTACTGGAGCCCATAGACATCTATAACGTAAATGCGCCACCCACCTTAAGATATAAGTTCTAAGGTCTTAGTACAGTTACAACGGCTGCCCCACCCTTCAAACCGAAACGCTTACTGCTTCACGGCAGAAATAGGCAGGGTGGTGGTACCTACCCGTGCGGACTCATAAGAGGTCCTACCACCAGTAAAAATAGACCACCAAACTTTAATACAATGATGTCTCTTGATGATGACATTTGGGTTGAGGGTCGCTGGTTTGATTACAGCATCGGGTAAACCGATGAGACGAACACTTTTGTTGGCTCTTTGTCTGAGTGTAAGCATATCAATGTTTGATATTTGAGCATGTATATAAATGATGTATTAACATAAATGTCAGTCTTGGATTTCCATAGCACTGAGCATCATTGTTTGGAGGCAGATGGACATGTATGACTAGGTCACTGTCCTCTCTGCTTCTGTCACAAAACCCGCTCCGATTTGAAGAGCTAGAGAAATAGAACACACCCCGAAACCCCAAGTCTTACAGTTTGTTGTGGAATGCCGGGTACTGTGGCCTTGAGGTCTGGAGATCATTAAACAATAAACCGGCCGTAAGTTTGATTTTGCGTCGCTACAAAAATAGATAGGGTTTTACTCTCAGCTCTTGACAGGGTGTGAGCAGTCTGGTCCGGCCCTTCGAGTTCCGGGTCCGCGGCGCCGGTAGCCGTCTCGGCTCCGGGCTGCGGCATGAGTTTCTCCTTCAGAAGCTGCTTCCGCGCCTCGGACTCTTTGGCGGCCTTCTGGATTGCCGCTTCTTGATCGTGCATGGCTTGGAGGAGCTCCTCTTGGGTTACGATCTGAATAAATAAGACTGCAATATCTGATAATTGAATTATTTTAAGAAGGAAGGTTGTCCGAAGTCCTGTCTAATTTCATCGGGACCGGGATAATTGTTATTGAAGATTTGTATCATTTGATTTGCAAATTCCGTGTTTGTTTGTACGTTTGTTCATTCGTGTCCTATGCTCTCACACGTCAGGTATCCGAATTAAGCTTTATTGGCACTTTAGCGAAGGTACATAGTTTCGAAAATTTAACGGTAGGCAGCAAGTTATCTGGCATTGCTGACGTCCATGAGCGACGGTAACCACTCACAATCAGGTGGGCCGTATGCTAGTCTCCCTGCAAGGGCAATATTTTTTTTTTTATGAAATTACGATTGTTTCAATAAATAACGCGCTGAAATGTGCATTATTTAATCATTAATTGAATAAGTTAATTAGCCCTACAGGGCCGCCCGGGCGATGCCGCTGGTGTTCCGGGATACCCCGCTAGGCCAGAACCCGCGGTACGGCACAGCTTCAACCCTCTCAGGTCGACCCGTGACCATCACCAGGAAGAGACTGCCTCCTAACAGGGGCCGGAGCTGGACGAACACCCTTCTCCAACCCCTGATGACCTCATACCTCAAGTTCGAAACGGCATTCACGTCGTGATATCTATGGACTCTAGTAACCACTTTACCCTAACTCGTCGACCTGTCTCCCGTTGTAAAATCAAACCACATTTAGAGATGCGACTATTAGGTACCATTATTTACAAATACGCAAAGGGAAAGACTAACTTTAGCTTGTTTCTTCAACCTTTCGAATTGCTCCTTATGCATGATAGCTGGATAGAAGTTCGGTTCGGTCTTCGGCACTAACAGAGGACGCCAACCACCGATTTGCGGGACCATGGTGTACTCTCTTTTCGGCACCTCGCATTTGTGGATGGAACGCTTTGAGATTGGGAATTTTAGGCGGCATTGTGAGGGCCTGCAATCATTGAAAATGCCCAACGCTAATATTCGCCATTTGTAAGCACACTTATATCTACTTTATGCTTACCTTAGCTAGAAGATTTCATAAGATACCTAAATGAGGTCAAATGATTGTGATGCCGATGTATTAATGGCAGTGAAGGTACAAGTATCCAGGGGGCACAGAGTCACCATTATCTCTTCAATTCTACTTTTAAGCTCTTTCGAACTTTACGGATAGTAGGGCATCTTGGAAGCTGACACGGTACCATTCTGTTCTTTAGTCGCGAAGGGTAGGTAGAGGAAACTGGTTGTAGGACGTCTTGTGAGTCCGCACGGGTGGGTACCACCACCCTGCTCATTTCTGCCGTGAAGCAGCAATGCGTTTCGGTTTGAAAAGCGGGGCAGCCGTTGTACTGCTAAAACTGAGACCTGAGAACTCATATCTCAAGCTAGGTGGGCTCCGGTAACCACTTACCATCAGGTGGGCCGCGAGCTCGTTCACCCAAGTAAGCAATAAAAAAAAACCGTGCAGATACTACCGTGATTTCTACTTCAGAGCGGTGGCATACACTCTGTGAAGTATTTGGGCGTGCAAACGTAATAGATATTGTTGCGTTAGTATTTAATAATAACACTAGCCGTACTCGGCGGCTGGGCTGGGCATTTAAAATTAACGTTATTATTTATTGTCGTTATTATTAGGGAGTCCAACACTCATATAAATAGCCTATCCATTAAGTACATGTATTTTCTACACGAATACCAAGCTTCAAGTCAATCGGATGCATGGTTCAGTAGTTATAACGGAACATCCGTAAAAACAACGGTAGATTTATATATTAGTATAGAATAGATTAGTATGGTCATTTTACAAATGTGTGTGTGCGTATGTGTGTGGGTTAGCTATCCTACTAAAGGACCAATACACGATAGGCTCGATAGGATAATTAGCTATCGAAGTTTCGACCTCATTTCTAATATATTAAGTGTATAATCTATGACCTCATTCTTGAGGAGGGCGATCGTTGTGGTGTCAATTGTTTCCTTAACATTTAGTGGACTGCGGGCTTGATTTGTTACATGTTACATTACATTCATGTTATAAGATCATGATTACGAATTATGTATCATAATAAAAAAGTGTTTAAATAAGTTAAATAAAATTGACCTGTGAAGTTGGTAGCAGCCAGGGTCGCTTCCTTTCCTGACGTTGTGGTAGGGTATGCCCTCGTGAGGATCTTTCGCAACTTTAGGCATTATAACTGTTACAAAATGATAAAACAACTAGGTACGAAGAAACTATAAAATGACGCTATCTGATTTTGGTTGCTAGGCAATGAAATTATCGTTTTGCCAATTTTAATCTATATGTATAAATAAAAGTCGATGTATGTATGTTCCCTATAGACTCCAAAACGATAGATGGCTTTCAATTAAATTTTCAGCAAATCTTTTGTGCAGTTTGGTGGCGATTGCAAGCCTAAGGACCGATCAATGAAGCAAGTCGTGCTTGTCTAGACAAATTTAAGTTTCTATATCCGCAAAAAAAACCATTTCATCTAAAGTGAACTATTATTTTATATTTAATTCACATTAAGAATTATGCTTTTAAAAAACCACTCTGTATAGTTGAAAACATAGATTACATTTGACAGGTCTAGAATCATTTATTAAAAGTTGTGTTATTTATTACTTCCGTAGGACATAATGAGGGATCTTTTATTTGCTTGATTAATACATGAGCATAATAAATGAACTGGATGTTGACTCAAGTTTCTGGAGAGATATTTTTTGTTTTAAGCATTTGAGGATCTTGAACAGAAGTAGGTGCTTAAATAGTGCATATACGATTGAAAGACATCCTTAAAAACTATATGCATTCAATTTGAAACTATTGTTTCAAATGGTACGACACTTTATAATCATACAATATTGATAATACAGTAAATGTCATGTATGCGGCCAAATAAAGTTTCACTGTTTTCGTAATACTAATTATAATTAAACCTACCTCGTTTTACGATTACAGTCTTAAACAATTTTCCTTTAAAAATAAATTGGGGTGTTTAAGTAGGTACTTACTTTAAGCTATAGGTCTATGCTTTAAGCTATTAGATCACTCTTGACTCCGTCAACGTCAGGATTATCAGCTGTTCTGTGACAATTTGTATCAAACAGATTTAGGTTATACATTTTAATATAGGTTAATATAAGTTCAGTTGTATCTTATTTAAACTGACAAAATACTTAATTGCTTAATTAATTTTGTAGCGTAATTCAAAGAAAAAAAAACTATTAAAATATCTATATTACTTTAAAAAAGTCAAGTATAAAAAACCGGAACTATTCGATTGTTTATAGTACGCATATAATGCAATTTTTTTAAATTAAATCTATAATGATGGAGAAAAATGAGACAAAGTCAACAAATTCACCCTATCTGGCTCCTCTCCTGGTAAGTTTTATTACAGTGCTCATTTAATTTTGCATTAAACTTGCTATTTTAAATGTTGAAGTTTTGTTTGCTATTCTTGATTGTTGTGATTGCGCTTACATGCTCTACATACTTCGGGAATAAAACGATCGTGGGTACTATTTTAAAGGTTTTTTAATAACGATTTATAGAAAAGGATATATTGTCTGTTAAATCCATTGAACTAAGATTTTAACCTCAACAATTAAGAAATAAATGTATGCAACTGCAAAATATCAAAGGGTTGTTTGTCTGCCCATTCAAGCTATAACTAACATGTTAAATGCACTAATTTATTTATTTAAATTTGTGCATTAGAGTACAGTGGAGGATTTAATGCCTAGGGCATTCACAGAGTTTTATCTTAGATGCATTTGCTTTATTGAAAAATAAATAATTTATTGTATAATTGTACAAAAAAACACTATATTTATACATACATAAAACACCGTCCATATTATAATATCATAGAATACAAACATAATATATATCTTTATTCTTATATATATAAATTCAATAGAGACATTTATATCGAACATATTAAACATTCATTGGACATGGAAAAAATAATTTAGCTAATTTCTTAAAACTGCAGCAAGATGGATATGATAATGGAGCTAATAGACATCCTTGTGTGATTACTGCAATCCATCTTGAGACTGGAATCTGAAATTTCAATAGTTTGCGCAATGACTGCCCCATCCTTCGAATAGGATGATATTATACTATATTAATACAATATGTCATTGATATATCAACAGGCTGGAGCTATGGCTGGATTGTCCGTAGATTTAACATTATATCCCTTTGATACCCTGAAGACACGTCTACAAGCAGAGCAGGGCTTTCATAAGGCTGGAGGATTCCGTGGAGTTTATAGAGGTAAATACAAATAATACACACTTATGAAGTACAAATAAGATGGGTTGTTCTATGTAATATTGCTTTATTGTACTGATAGTCCATAAGATGTCCAGTTAAAAACCAATAGCATGCACCCTTGGCTTCCTTACCCAAATTTAGTGATGGTAGGACGTCTTGTGAGTCTGCACGGGTAGGTACCAGCATCTTGCCTATTTATGCCATGAAGCAGTAATGCGTTTCGGTATGAAGAATGGGACAGCTGTTGTAACTAAACTGAGACCTTCAAACTCATATCTCGAGGGGGAGTGGCAGCATTTACGTTGTAGATGTCTATGGGCTCCAGTAACCACTTAACACCGGTGGGCTGTGAGCTCGTTCACCCATATATGCAATAAATAAAAAACTGATGGAAGAGCATGTGGCCTCTTTGATGTTTTTATATTGTCCTGCTTAACATATCGCACCTTCGGTAAGACAAGGGCCGAAGTGCTAAAATTTCTGAAAATGAGTTAATTATGCCAAAGTGCCTTAAAAACTAATTTCTACCTGTAGGAACAAAGACATTCAATAGATTCAGTTTATTTTCGCCAGATGGCAAAAGTGTCTTTGTACCATTCGTTCGTTTTTTGGATGATATTGGCGCGACAAAATCTTATTGGTCATTTGCGGCATCGCCCGCGCGAGTATTGGTTGTGTACTGGACCGTAAGGGTCATTAAGGTAAATATGCCCTTTTTTGTTTTATATTTTGGAAAGACATGGTCACATTTTGTGTAAATAATATGCCTAATTTGAGAGCACATATTTGACAGAAAAAATTAATGTCTTAAGCATTTACTTGGCATTCCACAAAGGAATATGTGGCATTTTATAGATTTAATGTAAACCTTTTAGAAGTAAATTTTATGTTATTTTTTTTATTTTAGTTTTATTTTATCATTGATAAAGATTTTCCTAAGAAAAAAAATGAATAAAGATGTAGAAAATAAGTAGTATTTCCATTTAATAAGTCATTTCAATATAATGTGTAACTTTGGTCGCAACTGCACATTTATTTAAATGTTGGTGGGATAATGGCATAATTGTAGGCATACATTAATATTTATTTATTTATTTATTTATTTATTACACTTCATGTAAAATTTACATTGGCGGACTTAATGCCAGTCAACCAAAGGTAGTGCAGAGTAAATAGTGGTAGGTGCAATGAAATTTATATTAGGTTACGAATACATACAAAAAAAAAAGGATATCTACATATATACACAATCTCATATACATATACATACGTACATACATATATACACACATACATACATACATAATATTTCATTAAATAATTAGTATAAATAAATAAATAACTCAGTCTTTCAAATTACATATTTATATTCACATGTATAAGGTATATTTTTGCTATAAATAAAATACTATTTTACATTAATATGGGCAGAAAAACACAATTTAAATCTATAAAAATCTTAAAACGTCTCTCCTGAACATTTTTAAAATTAGCACTTCGGCCCTTGTCTTACCGAAGGTGCGATATAACTATTGACCATGAGTGTATGCAAATGAATAATAGTCAGTTTAAAATTCTCTTTCTAGGTATTTTGACAGTCGCTTCGACTTCCATGCCAACGACGGCATTATTCTTTGTGTCCTATGAAACTACGAAGACACTATGTATACCACACTTGCCGAGTTCATACTCATCGCTAGTTCACATGTTTGCTGCAAGTGTCGGTGAAATTGTATGTATTTGTTTGTATGTTGCGTTTAGATATAAGATGTGATAATCGAATCAACAGGACTAAATAGTTTTTTCTTCTCTTCAAATGAGGCTTATGGAGGATGCTTAGCGGAGCTATCCATACTACCTGGAGCCACTGCGGTCACTCACAGTGCTTTTCCAGAGGTCTTTTTTGGCACGTACCATACGGCTATGGAATGAGCTCCCCTCCACGGTGTTTCCTGAGCGCTATGACATGTCCTCCTTCAAACGAGGCTTATGAAGAGCACTTAACGGTAGGCAGTGGCTTAGTTGCGACCCTGACATTGCTGACGTCCATGAGTGACGGTAACCAGTCACCATCAGGTGGACGGTGTGCAACAGGTTACAAGGCAATAGAAACTACCATTGAACTGTCGCATATGACACTTCATTAAGTATATCTCATAACAAAAGGAGCCCAATGATCCAGTTAAAGTGTCTGATTGTTTTAATATACCAGCAGACCAAAGCATACTGTAAAAGAATTACTTATAATATGATTTTTACATATTTATTTGTTTATTTGGTTCACTATATAGATTTTAATGACCTAGATAGGCAGAGGCAAGTTTGTGTTATATTAAAAAATTACTTCTGGGGAGATTTTAAAGTTTGTTTTTATTCTTTAATTTCAGTTAGCGTGTGTTATAAGAGTACCAACGGAAATAGCAAAACAGAGAAAACAAACGTATGTCGGGACCAAGAAGACAAGCAGTATATCAATACTATTTCAGGTAGTTTAAATTCTTGTGATTCAAGGCCTGGTTAATTTGGTTCATACAATCATAGATACTCTCAGTAATCTGGGCATGAAAATATATGTTAATTGTTATGTAATTTCTAACATCTAACAGCATAAAAAGTAAATTTAAAATATATTTAAATACAATAACACTTTTACAGTTGGACCAAGTACCCAATAATAATATTAATCATTTGGGATAAATTAATATCCAAGTGATGATGATCTAACATTGATACTATAGTAGGAAATAGTAGAAAAATCTTTCAGATTCAGAACAAAATCACAATATTCAGGTTTGGCTTTCAGTGTCCGTGGCAACAGTACGGGATCCATCTTAGCTCAGAGCACAGTAGCATAGACCTGCTCTGGTTATACTTATGTTATATTCTGATAAATGTTAGTTGAAAAATAAACAAGCTATGAATCTGTTGCTAATTCCTCTCCGAATTGAATTTGTAATAAAAAATAGGAGCTAAGTCTTGAAAAAATATAAACATTTTGATTTTAATGCCTTCGATTAACTGCCTCGGTGACTGATTGAGTAAGTTTACTGACGCTCAGGTTTTGTTCCTTCTTCATTGCGAATTTACTAAAACAGTAAAGTATTAGATTAATTGAATAAGTAGGTATCTAATATATAAAATTCTCGTGTCACGGGGTGCGTGATTGAACTCCTCTGAAACGGCTCGACCGATTTTCGTGAATCTTAGCGTGCATATCGGTCAGGGTTGAGAATCAAACAACATCTACTTTTCATCCCCCTAAATGTTAAGGGTGGGTCCACCCCTAAATATATTTTTTATTTTTTAGACTTTTTTTTTTGTTTCTATTTTTTTATGATACAGCATACAAAAATACATACAACCCTAAATTTTCACCCCTCTACGATCAACCCTTATTTTTTATTAGCTAATTAAAAACTTTAAATTTTTTTGCAAGAATTTCGTTTTTATTTTGTCATGATTAGAATAAAAAATTTCATATTACTCTGAAATTTTCACCCCTCTACGATCAACCCCTATTTTTTATTTGTTAATTACAAACTTTAATTTTTTTGGCAATTTTTTATTTTATTTTGTCATGACTTAAAATAAAAAAACAATATATTACTCTCAATTTTCACTCTTATACGATCAACCCCTATTTTTCCATCCCGATTTTTATTTTTTTTATTCTATGCACAGATTCGCAATAAGGTTGCAAGATGGCGATCAAATACGATAAATTCTCGAGTTAATAATTTCAAGTTCCTTTAATTATGATTTTTTTTTAAATCAATTTGATCTCCCGCCCTCTACGGTCGACTACTGATCAACTATCAATCGATCAGTTATCCCCGCCAGGTGTCACCACTCATCCAGCAAACACGATGAGGACGAAGCCGGTCTCCTGTCTTACTCACTATACATTTTTCAGCCATGTTTCTTTGGTTTTATTTGTGTATCAATCGTATATTCAGTAGGTCTGAGAATCTGCTACTATCTATTTTTCATGCCCCTAAGTGATAAGGATTGTCCACCCCAAACATATTTTTTTTTGATAATTTTTTTTGGTTATAATGTGCTATTAAGTGGTTGAATGAGGTTTTTGAGAATTTTATATATTTGATTAGAATTTCCCTAGAAATCTTATTTAAGGCAACACAACGTTTGCCGGGTCAGCTAGTATATATTATTATATGTAATTAGTTTTCTATTTATGTCATGATATGAACATTTCGATTTTGGACTTTCTTTTGTTGTTCTCACTTGTAGGCATACAAAACGGAAGGTTTTCGCAAGGGCGTGTACAGAGGATTTGTGTCCACAGTCGCTAGGGATTTACCGTTCAGCTTCATAGAGATGCCCGTCTGGGAGCTCCTGAAGACGACCCTCAGGAACCACAACGACGGACAACTGTCCAGCTTTCAGGTACGTGACGTGTGGAGAATTCATTTGGTCATTTTTATAGCATTTTTTCAAGTCAGCAGTCAGGGTAACTTCTTAGGCGCGTTGAAAATAAAATTTAACTCGCGACATTCGTTACGGCTAGAGAGAAAAGATACAAGATACATTTTTGGCCTATGTCCAGTAGTGGACGTCTGTGGGCTGATAATAATAAGTAAAAAAAACAAAACATAGTGTATGTTCATTTTTTTTTAACTGACCCCACAAATGGTCATTTAGCGTATAACTGAATGTTAAATGTCACCTATGTGCCAATGTCACTGTCAATGCCAATGCGTGGTGGTGTTCGCGTTGAACTGGTAAAGTATTGTGTGTGCAGACAGCGCTGTGCGGGTCCGCGGCTGGTGGGTTCGCGGGGGCTGTGACCACGCCTCTGGACCTCGCCAAGACGCGCATCATGCTGGCCCCGGACTACGCGGTCACGCGCAAACTGAGAATACGTCCGGTCCTCGAGGAGATATACTGTCGCGGCGGCGTCCGGGGCCTGTTCGCGGGCGCCACGCCGCGCCTCCTCGCCTTCACGCTCGGCGGCTTCGTATTCTTCGGCGTTTATGATCTCACGAAGAATCTTTTTGAGAGAAATACGTCTCGGTAGCAATGCCTAATGGAGCAGTTTTTTTCCCCTACCTAAGCTGATAGCCTTGAGAGGCTATATCAGCGTCGCCTTAACTAGTAGGTGAGCTCACGGGGCTCAAACCTGACGTCGTTGCTGGCACTAGCCCTAGCAAGAGCAGTGCTTGGCAGAATCTACCGCCGGATCGGATACGCGACCCACTGAGATGATCAGTGTGCTTAGTGCGAGTTTCTTAACGTTCTCGATAGCGTAAAAGTTAACCCAATTTTGTATGCAGTTGGAACAGCGCCCCTAGCGGCAAACGTAGGCAAACGATCACATTCCATACAAATATGAGTTAACTTTTACGCTATCGAGAAAGTTAAAAAACTCGCACTAAACACACCGGAGAGAAACTGCTGCGGAGCATGGACAACGGTCCGCCATATTTGGGATGCGACTCAACAGTTTATTATAGCAGCAGGGTAATTAGTTTTAGGGTTCGATTCTAGTTTGTTAATTGTTTATAATAATAAAGCCATTTAATTCTGAACTACATGCATGATGCAATTTAACATTTTTGTGTTTATACATTGTATTTCTTACTAGCTGACCCGGCAGACTTCGTAGTGCCTCAATCGATAAATAAAAGACCGAAACTTTTGTATAAAATAAACTTAAAACAAACAAAAAGAATCCGTCCGACGGGGGACATATCAAAGGAAAAACAAATTGGTTATTTTTATTTAATTCCGAGCATTTTCATATTTATCTACCTTTTAAACCTTCTCTGGACTTCCAACAATAATTCAAGACCAAAATTAGCCATATCGGTCCAGCCGTTCTCGAGTTCTAGCGAGACTAACGAACAGCAATTCATTTTTATATATATAGATAATACATCTCGCAGCTCTGCATGTCCTACATGTATTCTTTCAGTTTTACATGTCCTTCTTCAAACGAGGCTTGTGGAGAGTATTAAGCGGTAGGTAGCGGCTTGGCTCTGCCCCTGACATTGCTGAAGTCCATGGGCGACGGTAACCACTCACCATCATGTGGGCCGTATGCTCGTCTGCCTACAAGGGCAATAAAAAAAAAGGTTCGGCGAGCCGCGTGGCATAGGCCTCCTAGCTCTGTCCATTGAACTCGGTCCTCTGCAAGTCTGGTCCAGTATGGTCCTAGGGTTAGTTAGTTAGTTAGTTAGTTAGTTAGTTAGTTAAGGTTAATTGCTTACCTTACTGAAACCATTCTGGCTTAATACTGTAGGGGGCGAGGCCCGGATCCACTTGTGAATGCTCTATGTCTATTAACGATGAATTATACCAAAACCTAATCTGTGTTATTTGAAATTGTTTGTCTATTAATAAAGTCGTAGATGAATGTTAGACTATTGGAAATTTATATATCTGTGTGACGGATTATCGAAATTATAAATGATTTATTTTAACATTTTGTTTGTTTTTAACTTTTATTGCATCAAACGAATCTGTGTTTAGTGGTGGGGGCGTATTGCGGCCCCCCTCGGGAGGGGACCAAACCAGAGTAGTCCGTATACGATATAGTTCTAACATCGTGTTTCAAATTACAGTTGCGTAGGGTATAATGCATTTCAAATAAAAATGTGCATGGATCTGCGGTATATAGTGACGTCATAGCTTTACTGGTGGTAGGACCTCTTGTGTCCGTGCGGGTAGGTACCACCGCCTTACCTATTTCTGCCGTGAAACAGTAATGCGTTTCGGTTTGAAGGGTGGGGCAGCCGTTGTAACTATACTGAGACCTTGGAACTCAAATCTCAAGGTGGGTGGCGGCATTTACGTTGTAGATGTCTATGGGCTCCAGTAACCACTTAACACCAGGTGGGGTGAAAGCTCGTTCAACCATGTATGCAATAAAAAAGAAAAGCTGTTAAATCGAAAAAATATAGGTAAAATCAGTAAAAAAAAGTAGGATTTTTTAAATATTTATTTATAATCCAAATCTCAGAGTTTAATGATTCCACTCATCCCACTGATTGAGTAATTATCATTATCGTCGCCTATCCATAGATTATAGGGCCCGACAGTGTAGCAGCTTTGATATTTAAATAGTTGTTTTTTTATATGTTTAATTGACCTCGACCAGTACTCAACATATCAAGAAAATTATATAGGTATGTACGGTTCATTAAAACAAACATATTAATAATCATCATAATTAGTTAAAAAATTCACTAAAAAATTTATATTTTTGTTGCTGTCCATACTTTTTTGTTGAACTTTGACAGATCAAGGTCATTGACATGCATTGAAACGCACTATAAATCTACGAATCAGTTTGTCTGCGCATTTAAAGTAATATTAAAATCGAAAAGGGCAAAAACAATAAAAATAAATTATTAAAAAAAAAGCTGCTCGGACTGTGAGATAAAAGTTCCTATATAGTAGGTATGTTAGCAATTGTAATCCGATCCCTCGGTTTTATAAGGAAGTACCTACTGTATCACATTCTTGTGAGATTGTTAGGAAATTATAATATATTCAAATATATATCATTGTTGTGTTACATCCATGTAATTAATTAATTAATTAATACAAATCTATTCTCAATATTTTTCTTCAGATGTGAATTAAACAATTTAAATCTTGCTGTATTTCAGACGTTCTTTGGAACTGATATATTGCTATATTTTCAATTTAAGGAAATAGTGTATTGTTACGAATTAGTATCTCAGTAAATATATTTTATGTAATAAGGACAACAATTAAAATTTACTGCAAGTGTTGTGTTGTTGTTTATTTGGCTTAGCCACGTTTCATTGTTATTGTTGTTTTATTGTTATTTGATTTTGTTATAATACAATTTTATGTAAATTTTAATGTGTTTACGTATTATATTTATATTTATCGTTGTTTGTTTGTGTTCAGTTTCGGTAAGTGGTCTAATGAATGATTGTACTTTTTTTTTTGTTTTTATTATCAAAATAAAGGTTTTATTTTTTTGCAATAAGAATGGTTTTTTTTTATTACATGTATTTTGTTAGCTTTGTATGTAACGAAAGAGTCGTAGTGGCCTAAAGGATAAGACGTCCGGTGCATTCGTGTTTAGCGATGCACCAGTGTTCGAATCTCAGACGGGTACCAATTTTTCTAATGAAGCTGACTTTGTATTGACTTTAATAAATAAAATAAATAAACAAAATAAAAGGAGTTTATGTATTATAAGGGTACGCGTCCATCGGCCCGCTTCGGACGCACCGCACGTAATGGATTTTATTGTGCTTTGTATGATTTCACATAGTGCCGCGTCCACAATCCGCGTCGCCCGCAACCAACGCACCGGCATTTATGAGCAAAAAATACAAAGCAAAATAGAATCTGTTGCGTGCGGTGCGTGCAGTGCGGGCCAATGTACCTTTAGTGCCACATTTAAAGTCTATCGGACGGATAATTTCGGAGGTCTCGTGGGAAGGCTGGGGTTTGGACTGTGTTTTTGCAGGACCATGTGGATTTGCGTAGTCTTTCGGTCGCCTCTTTGGACGGTGTAGTGGTGGTTAATATTGCAGCGTAGGCATGTGCTTTCATATCCGACCCAGGCGAAGGAGTAACGTAAAGCCGCTGATGCCTGGAGCATATCTTGTCAACTCCCCCGGGTCCACTCTCGGTGATTTTAGAACCCTCAAGCACCGGTCACCGTCAAGAGTTCACGAGTGAACTAACCCATAGACACAACCCACTGATTCTCTTGTCGGATCTTCTCAGGGAGTCGCGATTCCGATCCGGTAATAGATTTTGCGAAACACTGCTCTTACTGGGCTTAGTGTTAGCAAATTCTCTCAGGTCGAGCCCGTGAGCTCACCTACCCGTCTGCAAGAAGCTGGAATAGACACTTGGGCTTCCGGCGAGTGGGTAGAGGAAAAAGCTATTAGTTATTGACTTGGACTTTTATGATTTATACACAGGGGAACATTAGCTTTGGAGTTGTTGAGCCATGAGTTATTTTTTGCAGTGAAAGCATTGATTTTGGAAATGCTGTGTTTTTGGAAGATAGTTCACGCCTCGCAGGAGCAGACAAAATTACACATTATCGCAATATAACACGGAGCGCGGGCGCAANGGGTAGAGGAAAAAGCTATTAGTTATTGACTTGGACTTTTATGATTTATACACAGGGGAACATTAGCTTTGGAGTTGTTGAGCCATGAGTTATTTTTTGCAGTGAAAGCATTGATTTTGGAAATGCTGTGTTTTTGGAAGATAGTTCACGCCTCGCAGGAGCAGACAAAATTACACATTATCGCAATATAACACGGAGCGCGGGCGCAATTCACGCTAAAAACAATATTATATTATAAAAAAACAAAATTTGATGAAACGCTTTTATTGTTTTTAACTAAATACAATACACCAACAACAACAAATTATATTTATATTTCTAATGTTTATACATCGATATACATTTTTATTTAAATATATTTTACATTTAAATAACAGTAGAAAATCGCGCCTCACAATTAAAACAGTATTAACTCAGAGGTTTGCAAAATTTTAAATTGTAGTTTTTTTGTTGTTGACAAAATGGCGAATTTTAATAATGTGGGGTCAGACAAGTACCCACCTCTATGATTTATTTTATTTTATTCTGCTCTTTTTTTTTAGTATGGCAATTCTAACGACGTCTAAGGTCAAGGTAATACCAGGAAAAAATTATATAAGTTTTTTCCTTAGGATAGAGATTGGCGCAAAATAATTTTTTTTTTGTAGAGACAAAACGACACGAGATTACAAGTAGATTTTTGAGATATTCCGGAATATTGCATAGATATTTTTAAGATTATCCGAAATATTGCATAAATTTTTTATCAATCATTAAAAAAAAAGATATTTTTATGATATTCCGGAATATTGCACAGATGTTTTGGAGATATTCCGGAATATTACATAGATATTTTTGAGATATCCCGGAATATTGCACAGATGTTTTTTAAATATTAGGGAATATTACATATATTTTCAGTTGACACTTTTAATTATGAGGAGCGACATTATAATCAGTCTACATGTGAATGGAGATTTGACGAGAAAAAAAACACAAAAATAAACATTTATTTTTAAACAACAACATGGCCGACATCACCTCACTCTCCCGCCAATTCCGAAGTTTTGGATGCGATCAATTTAACATTTACAATTACGTTTGGTTATCTTTAATCGATCACAACCAAAATAACACAGTAAAATTTATTTATTTATTAAAAATATACATTAGCAGATAATATGTAATTACAAATAAAGATATTTTGTGACAATTATATATAATTTCCTATAGATAATACCTATTCGTGCTAGTTCCTCTCTAGAAGTTTTTAAGAGTCAAATGAGGAAACATTTCCTGTCACTTTAATTGTATTTAAGTTATTGTTTTATGTATGTTTATTTATATGTATTTTTCATTATATATTAGTTTTTTTTTTAAAGCTTAGTTTAAAAATCATGCTTTAATACCTTTTATATTGTACACTATTCCTCTCTTATACATCGTATTTCTCTCTGCTAATGGTTTGCTGGAAGAAAACTCATGAACGAGTTAAGCTCGCCTTTGTACATAGTATTTAGACATTCTTTAAATCTGTTTTTATTGTATTTTCTTTTTGTCTACAATAAGTATAAAGATAAAATAAATAAATAAAATATAATGCAGATTAATTGTATTTTGTATTTGCTTATATATACTTCGTTCGGCTTCTCTAGAACGCTAAACTAATGAATACAATTATTAAAAATATAATGAAATGCCATTAATTTGTCATTCAATAAACTAGCTGGTCTCATTCTCATCTGATTCTACTCGTATTTGCGATAAAATCACCGACTCGTACAGAAAATATATTAATGATAATTCAAAATGACATATCAACATAGATCGCGAACGCAATGATTCTAATGTCCATACATTTAAGGTACATAAATTGGCTCGATGATGGCGACGGATAATTTGATAATTCAACTAAAAGGCGGTTTAAATTGAAAATAAAAAATTTTGGCTTCCCGGCAAAATTGAATTTAGTTGGGTACCTTGATTAACAGATGGCGCTAGTGAACTATATTCGTGCGCACAAGGAAGGCAGACGTGTCACTATTGACTTTCATTAACATTGACATGTTTTATAATGAATATTGTAGTGGATTCCTTTTCGGATGACACCATCCAATAATTAAATTGATATTTACCTTCTGATTAATACGTACAACAACGCTTTGGAACATTCATAGCCATTGAATAATTGTTTCACATTTACTTAACAGATTTCAACTATAAAAACTATTTTATTATTAAGACTATCAGGGTATAATTTTGCTTGAACACATTCTCTTCGCACGAATTTACAATCATCAACAATCTTAGTTGTATGGACGGAGTTTATAAACAATAAAGGACGCGAATTTATACCGTAGGAATTTTTATTTTTATTTTTTTTATTGCTTTGATGGGTGGACGAGATCACAGCCCACTTGGTGTTAAGTGGTTACTGAAGCCCATAGACATCCACAACGTAAATGCGCCACCCATCTTGAGATATAAGTTCTAAGGTCTAAGTATAGTTACAACGGCTGCCCCACCCTTCAAACCGAAACGCATTACTGCTTTACGGCAGGGTGGTGGTACCCCCCCGCGCGGACTCACGAGAGGTCCTACCACCAGTAAAAAATATTGGATAAAGTACATGAAATTTGGACGGAATTTATTATAGCAATATAATTACAATACAATGAACATTGTATTTAACGGGTTTTTATATGGGTGAATTTAAGCGCGAAATTAGTTTTTAACGGGTTCTTATATGGGTGTGTTAGAATGCGACATGAAACATTGAGAACTCATTGAATTTTATTAAGATTTTGGCGGTAGGCAGCGGCTTAACTGTGAATCCGGCATTGCTGATGTCCATGAGCCACGGTAATCACTCACTATCACATGGAATGTACTCTCGTCTGTCTACACGTGCAAAAAAAACAGTCGTGGTAAGAACCAGTCTCTTAATAATGTTTGCAATGCATATACCAGCGACGGTTTAAAACGTTACTTAAGCGACAAAGTGACGACAGGAAGGCGTTGTAGCGAAATTTAAGAGATATGTACAGATAAATACAATGATTACTCCGATGTCACTGGTTTGGTTATAAAGTGCATTGAATTAATTGCCATCAATTAAATATATGCCGCCGACATCTAAAGTGACAATTGTTCACTTAGATTGTTCTAAGAAGCAGTTGGTTAAATCTTAATTGGAATAACACGATGGGACAGTGATTATAATTTTTTTTTAATTANGTCTAAGTATAGTTACAACGGCTGCCCCACCCTTCAAACCGAAACGCATTACTGCTTTACGGCAGGGTGGTGGTACCCCCCCGCGCGGACTCACGAGAGGTCCTACCACCAGTAAAAAATATTGGATAAAGTACATGAAATTTGGACGGAATTTATTATAGCAATATAATTACAATACAATGAACATTGTATTTAACGGGTTTTTATATGGGTGAATTTAAGCGCGAAATTAGTTTTTAACGGGTTCTTATATGGGTGTGTTAGAATGCGACATGAAACATTGAGAACTCATTGAATTTTATTAAGATTTTGGCGGTAGGCAGCGGCTTAACTGTGAATCCGGCATTGCTGATGTCCATGAGCCACGGTAATCACTCACTATCACATGGAATGTACTCTCGTCTGTCTACACGTGCAAAAAAAACAGTCGTGGTAAGAACCAGTCTCTTAATAATGTTTGCAATGCATATACCAGCGACGGTTTAAAACGTTACTTAAGCGACAAAGTGACGACAGGAAGGCGTTGTAGCGAAATTTAAGAGATATGTACAGATAAATACAATGATTACTCCGATGTCACTGGTTTGGTTATAAAGTGCATTGAATTAATTGCCATCAATTAAATATATGCCGCCGACATCTAAAGTGACAATTGTTCACTTAGATTGTTCTAAGAAGCAGTTGGTTAAATCTTAATTGGAATAACACGATGGGACAGTGATTATAATTTTTTTTTAATTACATTTATTTATTTAAATGTGACATAGTAATTCTATGATTAATCCGCGTCAAAGTAAACGTGTGACGTCACTAGTGGGGAGTCGTGACGTGTTGTATGTAAAATGATTTGTTCCTCGCGTACCTTTTGATCCGAATTGTCGTCGTATTTTTCGTTTGAAATAAAATGGCTGCCGGTTACGTATTAAAAAAAAACTTATTCTACCTCTGTACATAATTAATGTTGTTACTAAATTGACGAATAACCGTTCAGTGCCATCTATATATCGGGAGCAAACAATATTAATGTCTTGTTAAAACATATTTACGGTTTATTCTTTCCGTAACTTCCGTAACTATACCGTAACTTCGGAAACATTAAAATAGCTTATGGACGAGATGAATTTGTATGTCCGTCTGGGTAGCCGCAGCCAAGACCTCCTCAATTAAAGTCCTGCGTCGCATAGCAGAATTTGATGCTGTACAGTTTGTATCTCACTCGTACCAACCAGACGCGGTCTACGCGAATAGGCCAACGATTACGTACGTGGGGTTGGACAAGTGTGATCTATCTGAATATGACGTTGTGGTCGGCGCGGTGCGCGCTGCTGTCCCGGGACGAGTGTCGGCGGAAGGGGTTCCAGGAGGGGGCGCGGCGCGGGGCGGCGGCGCGGGGGGCCGGGCGCGGGGTGGCGCGGGAGGAGCCGCTGGATGCGCTGGAGGCCGCCGACACCGAGCCCTCGCTGGAGGGGGGAGGTCGCGCCGCAGCGGGGGGCAGCTGCGGGGGAATACATATCAAAATATCTCTTCCTCCATATTCTTTCTACAGGATATTTTACAGTGAATTACAGTGGTGTTTAAGATTTTTATATCGCTACGGGTCTAACTTCAAGCTCAGAGTATTTCACGTAGTAAAGAGTTCCTTCTGATATTATATTGAATACTAGCGACCCGCCCTCGCTTCGCTTCGGAAACATTAAAACACACATGAAACCAAAAAAATAAAATAAAAAATAAAATAAAAAAAGTAGCCTATGTTCATCAGGGACAATGTCGGCTTCTAATGGAAAAAGAATTTTTCAAATCGGTCCAGTAGTTTCGGAGCCTATTCGAAACAAACAAACAAACAAATCTTTCCTCTTTATAATATTAGTATAGATAGTGACCCGCCCTCGCTTCGCTTCGGAAACATTAAAACACACATGAAACCAAAAAAATAAAATAAAAAATAAAATAAAAAAAGTAGCCTATGTTCATCAGGGACAATGTCGGCTTCTAATGGAAAAAGAATTTTTCAAATCGGTCCAGTAGTTTCGGAGCCTATTCGAAACAAACAAACAAACAAATCTTTCCTCTTTATAATATTAGTATAGATATAGATTCATATGTCTGTTGAGGCAACAACAACAGACTTGATTTTAACTATCCACTAGAGTTCCCTAAAATAAGCAAAATTTAAACTGACATAATATTGAATGTCATTCATATTAATTGAAACTACTTTTTTGATTTAATCTCATTCGTTTTAGTTGTTATCATACTATTTCTGACGTATCGATTATTTTAGTTTTTGTGGTTAGAAATAATAAAAAGTAAATAAAACTCAAAGATTATCTGAATAAATCAAAAAAATGAATGGGAATATAATAATTTTTACACTATTAATTGATATGAAATGAAACGAAAAATAAATCACTTACCTTGATGGAACTCTTATCCATGGGCGTCGCAAGCCTCAAGGTGAGCGTGTCCGCGGCCTGCTGTATCAGCCTCACGACCTCATCGTGCGAACTCCACTTGACATCCTCGTCACCGACCGAGATAATGAAATCTCCTTCCCGCATTCCCCCAATCTGGGACATAATATTGAATTTTAATGGCTAGAATCAATAAAAGCAGCAGCAAAAAGAAAAATGTTAATCTTAAAACATGAGGGGACATCCAAATTTCACAACAAAAACATTAAATAAAATTCCATTATTCATTCATTCCAAAGCTTCGTATAGTACAAGTTGACTCCGAGTTTTGAGTGCTTTGTACGAGCTTTTTAAAGTTCTCGATAGTGTAAAAGTTAAGTCAAAATTATATGCAGTTAGAACAGCGCCCCTAGCCGCAAACGTCGGCACACGTTCGAACTCCATACAAATTTGAGTTAACTTTTACGCTATCGAGAACGTTAAAAACTTGCACTAGCACACAGACACTAGTTTTACGTTACCAGTGGCACAAATCATCATCGTAGGTCTATGAATTTTAAAGTTTTGCACATGGAGCAATCTATGCTGAGTGCATTCAACGAATTCCTGCGACTATTATCCGGCTATCGGTTCACCTACTCCTACTAATTAGCTACTCTCGCTGCGCCTTACGAGAAATGTGCTTTACCCACTGCCACTTCTACGTTGTAATTCTGTCTATGGTTCTGCTGCGAGTCTTCCACTCCACAGCGTCGCTTGTTGAGCGACTATGAGCCTACGTACAAGGCTTCCGTCAGCGAACCACATCGGTTCCCGCGGTGTCATACTCACATCTGCCAAGGAGTTGGGTTCGACGGCGGCTATGATGACCGGAGCGTCCCCTCTCACGGAGAACCCGAACCCCTCGTCGTCTTTACCAGAGACATTGTATTCACTGGCCGCCCTCCTCAGCTGGTCTTTTCTTCTCTCCCTCCCATTTTTCTTCCCGTTCTCTCTGTCCCCTTTCTCAGCCCTGTAATCGTATTTCGACTCGTAGTCCAAGACTTTGGGGTGGTATTCGAAATTATTATTATAGCTGTTTATGTATATCCCGTTCTGTTTCGTCACTTTGAGGAGTTTCTTCTCGTAATCTTCCGAGTGCTTCTCGTCGCTTCTGTTCTGGTTGTAGTAGGCGCTGTTGTCTTCTGATCTGTCCCTTTTGTCGTTCGATCTTTTTAGTCTCTCCTGGTCTGGGTCTTCGATCCTGGAGTTTCTTCTTCTTGTGTTTTTCTGGAGCTGGACTAATCTGGGAGCGCTCCAGTGCCGCTTGGCTGAGAAGACCGCGATGGGTCCGAGGGATTTGAACAAGTCCTCGACACGGTATTGCGAGAAGTCCGGAGGTGTAAGAGCCAGTTGAAATTTCGATGACGCTGCAATAGATCGAAGATTTTGACAATGTAATTTAGGTAGACTAGTAGAGGCTGCTATACATTTAAATAAACCTTGGGCTGTCAATTTCTTTTTTTATTGTCTTTGGAGGCAGACAAGCATCCGGCACACCTGATGGTGAATGGTTACCGTCGCCCATGGACGTCAGCAATGCCTGAGGCACAGTCTCTCCACAATTTTCTTAATGAAATACGTACTCAAGAAATATTCACGATTGACTTCCACGGTGAAGGAATAAAACATCGTGTAATAAAAATCAAACCCGCAAAATTTATAATTTGCGTCATTACTGATGGTAGGACCACTTGTGAGTCCGCGCGGGTAGGTACCACCACCCTGCCTATTTCTGCCGTGAAGCAGTAATGCGTTTCGGTTTGAAGGGCGGGGCAGCCGTTGTAACTATACCTGAGACCTTAGATCTTATATCTCAAGGTGGGTGGCGCATTTACGTTCTAGACGTCTATGGGCTCCAGTGACCACTTAACACTAGTTGGGTTGTGAGCTTGTCCACACATCTAAGCAATAAAAAAAGTCTCGTTTGAAGAAGGACATATTGTAATGTTGAAGTTATCCACGTGCCGGAGTAGGACAATTAGTTGTAGTACTCACGCGTGATGTTGGGTGCGTCCAGTAGATCCGTGAAGTCGTTTTGTTCCGCCTTCGGGTTCTGTTCTTGCGCCACCTGCTCCAAATGAGCTCGAACCACCACGGACAGCGCTTCCTTGTCCCGTAACTCTCTGAGGAAATTCATTTATCTTACAATGCTCCGAATAATAAGAAAAAAAAAGGGTTTTTCCTACCTATGCTGATAGCCTTGAGAGGCTATTTCAGCTATACCCTAGCGTGTAGGTCAGCTCTCGGGGCTCAAACCGGAGTGTTGCTAACACCGGCCCTAGCAAGAGCAGTGCTTCGCAGAATCTACCACCGGATCGGAAACGCGACCCACTGAAAAGATCCGGCGAGAAACTCAGTGGGCTGGGTCTATTGGTTAGTTTACTCGTCGAGCCCTTCGGCGCAAGAGTTCGGCGAGGACGGTGACCGGTGCTTGAGGTACCTAAAAGCACCGTTAATGTATCGGGAGGAATCTGTGTAATGAAGAATTTAGAGATACTAATATTGATATTACAGCCTCAAGATTCAATGTGAGTGGGCATTGCATAGTGATGTCTGCGGGTTTTGCTAATTACTAGGTAAGCCGTGAATAATTTTCTTTATAAAGAGACTAATCTTGAAACAGCGCCATCTATTTTCTGAGGACATTAAACTAAACAGTTAGTAAGAAAATTGAGGAAAGCGTCATCTTTTGTCCACCATTTCAAACAAGCTTATCGTACCTGCACATTCTTTGTAGTCTTAATGCTTCTTCATAGAGGGCGACGGCCTCGGCTAGATGCGCCCTTCCCAGGGCTGTGAGGTCATAGTCTTGCTCTTTCAATATGGAGTTACCTGACGAATACAAAGGCACTGTTCAAATCAGAGCAAATTAACTAAACACTTATCATAGAACATTACTCATCATCGTTTTAAGAAGAGCTGAAGACGTGAATGGATAAAGGGGTTAAGTACCATTCTTAAGATTTTTGAGTTTTTACATTGAATGAAGGTGTTATGTGCCTATAAACAATATTGGACCTTAAAGCTACGAATTGAAAGGCTATTTTTAGAAATTGCATGTGTTGAAGGAGTTATGTACGAAGAAAAACCACAAGTAACAAAAGTTTGTTGTCCATTTTCTGAAAATTAACAAATTGTATTATGTCCCCTTCATCCACTCATGTCTTCAACTATTCCATGTTTATTCTAATGCAATTGAGGTTATCAACCTTGACTTAGGCATTAGGTATCACGACCCTGCTCTAATTCTGCCGTATACAAATTTCCAGCCGTCGATACTATTTTCAGCCTCGGCTTCCAGAGGGTCGGCGTTCAGCTCATGCTGTCTATGGGCTACAGCTGACGCGAACATGATTGTCAGTTAAATAAAAACAGTATTTATAATTGAGGCATTACTGGTGGCCCGGAGTCCTTTTTTTATTGCTTAGATGGGTGGACGAGCTCACAGCCCATCTGGTGTTAAGTGGAGCCCATAGACATCTACAACGTAAATGCGCCACCCACTTTGAGATATCAGTTCTAAGGTCTCAAGTATAGTTACAATTCTTTCCAGTTTCACCAGGACAGGTGGGCGAGCAAAGGCTCAGCCAAGAGGGGTGGGATTTGCTAACAGCTGCCCCAGCGCCTCCAAAGAAGACCTGACAACTCCAGAGCAGCTGCTTCGCGAATTAAGAAACAATCCACGAACCGTTCTGCTGACTCCTGTCGTTCTCGCTGGAGTACAGCGCGTCGAGTCTCTCCCTCATCTCTGCAGAGGGAGTGGAGTGGAGCAGCGCCGTGCCGCAGTACTGGTGCGCGAGCGCTGCAACCAGAGTCAAGGGTTCGTTCAATTATCCCTTTGGCTGTCGTGTTGGTCACCGGTGCCCTACGCGGCGCTCTGAAGTAATCATGTTGATTTCTCTTACTACAACACGTCGGGCGTGCCCCTGACGTTGCTGATGTCCACGAGCGATGTTGACCACTTACCATCAGATGGACTGTGTGCTCATCAGCTAACACAACAAAATATTAGGCTTTGAAACAGTGGTGGTGGCGAGGGAATCTGGAGAATGCATACCGTGGTAGAACTCAGTCTTGACGTGGACCAGGGAGACCCACGAGTATGGCACGTAGTTGAAGACACCCTCGGTTTGCATCTGGAAGCAGTAACAAAACTGTGCGCTTAGTGCGTTGACTGGTAGACGAGCCGGGGCCCGTGGACCGCAACGTAAAAGCTGCGGCCTTGAAGCACAAGAGCGAAGTCTCTTAATTGACTCCTATTTAGCGGACGCTTTTTAATACATTGAAATGGTGCACCTTATATCTACCTTCCGTTTTTTTTTTTTATTGTCTAGTCTAGATGGTTGGACGAGCTCACATCCCACCTGGTGTTAAGTGGTTACTGGAGCCCATAGACATCTACAACGTAAATGCGCCACTCACCTTGAGATATAAGTTCTAAGGTCTGAGTACAGCTACAACGGTTCAAATCGAAACGCATGACTGCTTCACGGCATAAATAGGTAGGGTGGTGGTACCTACCCACGCGGACTCACAAGAGGTTCTACCACCAGTACATTGTACATGATTATACTTTTAAGAGGTACCCTTAACACTTCAGTCCACGTTGGCATCCACACAGCTGAGGATAGGCAGGAGTGGCGCAGAATAATCCAGGAGAAAGTTGTAAGAGGAAGCCACGAGCCTTAGCATTGAGGATTATCGTCGCAAGGAGGAAGACTTATTCATGAACGAAATGTATAATATTGTTTTGCGGCTTCCCATTTGGGTCTATAGCTGGTGCTCTGGGTCCCCACGTCGCGTGGTGGTGGTACCTTGGCGTGCAGCTGTCGGTAGGTGTGCGCCAGGTGCGCGCTCTCCTGCGCCAGGTCCAGCGTGACGTCACCCGCCCCGCCCCCCGCCTGCAGCTGCAGCTTCTCCAGCAGGCACTCGCGGGCCTGAGCCTGCGCAACCACGACAACTATACTTGTGGACTTATGTTGCAAGACAGATTTTTACTTGTTGTTATTTTTGTATCTTTTTAGCTTGTAATGTGTGCTAATAAACAATGATATGATGTGATGTGATGTGAGATGATATGAAATGAAGTGGTCAGTGTGTGTGTCTTGTGTGAGGGTGCGGTGAGCTGACCGTCATGAGGGTGCCGAGGACGAGGAGCGTGTCTGCGGCGAGGTCCACCGAGGGCGCGTTGGTGAAGTTCTCGTGGATGTACCGGAGCGCGCCGGCCGCACGCAGCAGCGCGTCCACTGCGCCGTCCAGACCGGCGCAACGACTGCGCTCCTGTAACGGAACCCCCTTGTAAACTAAACAAATTCAAACACTGGTTTTTTTCCATCAATGTCTTTAACTCGTCGATATTATTTTTGGTTATTAGTCTTTGGTTTTTTTTCCTACCTTTTTTATTTTTATTTTTTTCCTAAGCTGGTAGCCTGGAGCGGCTATTCCAGCGTAACCGTGGCTAGTAGGTGAGCTCACGGGGCTCAAACCTGACGACGTTGCTAACACGAAGCAAGCACCTAGCAAGAGTCGTGCTTCGCAGAATCTACCACCGGATCGGAATCGCGACCCACTGAGAAGATCCGGCGAGAAACTCAGTGGGCTGTGTCTGAGAGTTAATTTAATCGTCGAGCCCTTCGTCGCAAGCGACGGGTTCGACGAGGACGGTGACCGGTGCTTGAAGTACCTAGAAGCACCTTTTCCTACCTAAGCTGAAAGAAGGCCTTGAGAGGCTGTTTCAGCGTAACCTTAACTAGTGAGCTCATCACGGGGCTCAAGCCTGACGACGTTGCTAACACGAACCCTAGCAAGAGCCGTGCTTCGCAGAATCTACCGCCAGATCGGAAACGCGACCCACTGAGAATATTCGGCGAGAAACTCAGTGGGCTGTGTCTGAGGGTAGTCTTCTCAGGTTTAGTTTGTCAATATAAAACGCTTTATGATTTAAAGCAACAATTCGCTTAACACGCGACATGTAACTTTGTGATTAAAGGTGCGTTTTATTTGGTCAACAGTTCAGTTTGGCATCAACAGTTGTTTTTTTTTTTAATAAGCGTCAATGAAGTTTACCCCATAATAATAGTCCAAAAAGTTTTTTTTTAACTTTAAACATTAAATAAATCCCCTGTAAAGTTACAAAAATGTTGCTTAAACCAAATAGTCTTTCACCCCTCATTATTTACACCCAATATTATTTTTGATTATTAATTTTCTTAGGTTTAGTTTGTGAATATAAAAATTGCAAGTCATAATGTTTTTTGGTACGAAAAAAAAACAACAACGAAGCAAGGGTCTTATACCTTCGACTTCCACGTTCCTGGACACATGCGCCAATGAATTTCATAAAGTAAATTAGTCCCTAACGTGAAGAAAATAAAGTCCATATTATTACGTACCTGTTTAGCGCCGATCTGTGTGTAAATGCCAGCAATGTTGAACAAGACACATGCTTTCTCAAAAGCCACTGTTCGCTGACACGATGGGACTCCTGTAACAAACAGCACCGTAGCATCGAATTAAGCTTATTTTTGGAGCTTCCTTCTTCGTGAGTCGATATAAAGCTTCATTTATATTATTTATGAAACACGAATTTATGTTTTTTTATTTTTTTTATTGCTTAGACGGGTGGACGAGCTCACAGCCCACCTGGTGTAAAGTGGTTACTGGAGCCCATAGACATCTACAACGTAAATGCGCCACACACCTTGAGATATAAGTTCTAAGGTCTCAGTATAGTTACAACGGCTGCCCCACCCTTCAAACCGAAAAGCATTACTGTTTCACGGCAGAAATAGGCGGGGTGGTGGTACTTACCCGTACGGACTCACAAGAGGTCCAACCACCAGTGATTACGCAAATTATAATTTTGCGGGTTTGAGTTTTATTACACGATGTTATTCCTTCACCGTGGAAATCAATCGTGAACATTTGTTGAGTACGTATTTCATCAGAAAAATTGGTACCAGCCTGCGGGATTCGAACACCGGTAGGATCGCTGCATACGAATGCACCGAACGTCTTATCCTTTAGGTCACGACGACTTCAAGTGTAAGAAATTTCATACTCCTCCGTTCACGAAATTTTCGTAAAAACGGATACAAAGTTTTCGCTTCACGTATTAATGTAATATATAAAATTCTCGTGTCACAATGTTCGTTCCCATACTCCTCCGAAACCGCTTGACCGATTCTCATGAAAATTTTTATGCATATTCAATAAGCCTGAGAATCAGCTACTATCTATTTTTCATACCCCTAAGTGATTAGGGTTGTCCACCCCTAACATATTTTTTTTTATTTGGACTTTTTTTTTTTGTTATAATGAGGTATTATGTGGTTGAATGAGGTTTTGTTATTTTTATTATATATTCCCTCATCGTTCACAGCACTACATACCTCTTTCACTCATTTACCACATCCTTACACACTTACAATAAGTTANGCTACTATCTATTTTTCATACCCCTAAGTGATTAGGGTTGTCCACCCCTAACATATTTTTTTTTATTTGGACTTTTTTTTTTTGTTATAATGAGGTATTATGTGGTTGAATGAGGTTTTGTTATTTTTATTATATATTCCCTCATCGTTCACAGCACTACATACCTCTTTCACTCATTTACCACATCCTTACACACTTACAATAAGTTACTTTTTTTTTCTACACTAGAAATTCCCTAGAAATCTTATATAAGGCAAAAAAATGTTTGCCGGGTCAGCTAGTTAATATATAGATGTAGATAAAAGTGGTTCGACGCTTGAAAGGCAAACGTGACTAAGCGACAATGGGTGAACTTTACAGTAGACTAATTTAAATTTGAAATACCTGAAAACAAAATTTATTTTAACGAATCTAGCTGTAGGATTGAAATGATTTTAATAGACCTAGAAATAAATTTTTTTTGCGCATCGAATATGGTTATTCCCTATCATTTATGTACAAAGCAGTTATTGTCGCTTAGTCATGTTTGCCTTTCAAGCGTCGATTTGTATGTTCCTCAATCGTACCTGTTAATGAATCGAACCACTCGAAGTAGACGCCCAGGGACCGGTCCGGCGGGAAGAACCGCCTCTCGATGTAGTACAGCTGGTTGTAGTACTTGAAGAGCAGGGCCACTCCTGCCGTCGAACGCACGGGGGTCCGGATTGCCTGGGAACAGGATGACCTTCATAGTTTGTGTAACGCAAGGATGTATTTTATTTGTTAGCTAGAGGAGGCAGTGATTTTTTTCTATTGCCCTTGTAGGTAGACGATGATACAGTCCACCTGATGGTGAGTGGTTAACGTCGCTCATGGACGTGGGTAAGTAGCTAAGTACCTACTCTCCACAAGCCTCGTTTGAAGAAGGATGTCATAGCGCTCGGAAAACACCGTGGAGGGGAGCTCATTCCATAGCCAGATGGTGCGTAGCAAAGATCTATGGAAGCGCAACGCAGTGGTCTAGGTAGTGTATCGACTGTGCCCCTGGCACCACTCATGTGCACGAGTGATACTTACCATCAGATGAGGGGTATACTTATCCACCTGCTACGTATAGTCAGTCACCTTTGTTTTAAGACGTCGGCAAATCCAAACCGCTGACTACCACTGAGGACTCTTCTCCAATCTCGTTTGAAAAAAGACATCATCACAGTGGAAATATCAGAAAATTTGATTTTTTTTTATTGCTTAGATGGGTGGACGAGCTCACAGCCCACCTGATGTTAAGTGGTTACTGGAGCCCATAGACATCTACGATGTAAATGCGCCACACACCTTGAAATATAAGATCTAAGGTCTCAAGTATAGTTACAGCGGCTGCCCCACCCTGCAAACCGAAACGCATTACTGCTTCACGGCAGAAATAGGCAGGGTGGTGGTACCTACCCGCGCGAACTCTCAAGAGGTCCTACCACCAGTAATAACAAAAGACCTACTTGTCTCATGTCCATAAAGTCGGAGATGGCGTCCTCGTAGTGCGCCGCGTCCTCGCTGTAATGCTCCAGGATGAAGTCCTTGAACGGGTCCCTGAAGTCCACCTCCTTCGTCTCCTTCAGGCCGAGAGGGATCATTGGCATTACGCATTCTTTGCTGTGAACATTGTATTGTCGATTTAGTATTCCCGGTTGCTTTTACGAGTTGAGAACTTCTTGTTTTCCTACCTATTCTAGTAACCTTGAGGGATTATTCTAGATTCATCGAGCTAGTAGGTGAGCTCACGGGGGCTCAAACCTAGCTAGGGCTAGTGTTAGCAAATCCTCTCGGCTTGAGTCCGTGAGCACACCTATCCGTCCGCGCGTAGCTGAAATAGGCTACCAGCGAAATAGGAAACGAAATTCCTTTTTTTTCGACCTATTCTAATGACCTTAAGGGTCATACTAGATTCACCGGGCATGTAGGTGAGCTCGCGGGGCTCTGACCTGAGGACGTTGCTAACACTGGCCCCAGCAAGAGCAGTGCTTCCCTGAATCTACTACCGGATCGGAAACGTGACCCACTGAGAAAACCCGGCGAGAAACTTAGTGCGCCTTGTCTATGGGTTAATTTACTCGCCCTTCGTCGCAAAAGACGGGTTCGACGAAGACGGTGACCGGGTGTTGAGAACATGTCGTATTATTGAAACGGGTATTGAGATGAACAAAATTTAGCCGGATCTGGTGGTAGGGCATCCACCACCAACACCTATTTTTGTGTTAAGCAGTGTGCACTCATTAGTGTGGTCCGCGCTGCGGATCCCCTATACTCAGGAGTTCTGGAGAGGGGGTTCCAGGTGAATGCCATAGCTGGCTAAATGCTCAAAGAGCTAACGTAAGTGAAATACTCCACAATTTTACTGTGAAAAGCGAAAAGATGGACGAAAATTATAATTTGCGTGATTACTGTCGTGGCCTAAAGGATAAGACGTCCGGTGCATTCGTGTTGAGCGATGCACCGGTGTTCGAATCTCAGGCGGGTACCAATTTTTCTAATGAAATACGTACTCCACAAATGTTCACGATTGACTTTCACGGTGAAGGAATAACATCGTGTAATAAAAATCAAAACCGCAAAATTATAATTTGCGTAATTACTGGTGGTAGGACCTCTTGTGATTTCGCACGGGTAGGTACCAACGCCCTGCCTATTTATGCCGTGAAGCAGTGATGCGTTTCGGTTTGAAGGATGGGGCAGCGGTTATACTGTAAAAACTGTTACCTTAGAACTAATATCTCAAGGTAGGTGGCGGCATTTACGTTGTAGATGTCTATGCGCTCCGGTGACCAGTTAAAATGGTGAGCCGTGAGCTCCTCGACCCACCTAAGCAATAAAAAATAACGTTGTGTTTAACTATAATAAAAATATTTGTTAATGCATCATTGTTGGCAAGTAGCAGTTACCAGCCGACATTGAAATACCGTAATTGCGTTAATACAAGGAAAATATTCGCGCTATTTCTTTGAGGTCCGTCACCGCGTTCGAGCTGGGTGAAGGTAATTGTGTTAAAAGTACTTACTATTTGGTTTTGGTTTCATTTGTTGACATTAATTTATAGGGTCAATTAGGAAGGCTCGTGCAATCCTTGTGGTGTTACATTTAGGGTTGCCACCCGTGCTTTATAACAAAGTATTGTACGTACTCGGGTGACCACTTAACACCAGGTGGGCTGTGAGCTCGTCCACCCATCCAAGCAATCAAAAAAAATATTTTATGTGAAAAAAAAGTTTTTTATTTATTGCTTAGATGGATGGACGAGCTCACAGCCCACCTGATGTTAAGTGGTTACTAGAGTCCATAGACAACTACAACGTAAATGCGCCACCCACCTTGAGATATAAGTTCTAAGGTCTCAGTATAGTTACACGATAATACTTTATTTGGCATGATTTGGTTTCTTTGGATTTGGATTTTGAAAAGTTTAGTCATATGTATTTTCTCGTTAACGCCACATCACCTAAGCACTCGTTTTTTTAATAAGTATTTCTGAACGCAACTTAACCTCAAACGTCAACAATGTCACTGTCATTAATTGTCACAATTTCTTGTTTAATTTCTTCAATTATACTAAAAAATACGTATTTAAACGTAATAATAATAATAAATAAATTGTACTTTATTTTAATACTATGTACTGTTTTTTCCTAACTATAATAACCAATGTATTTAATCTGAAGAAAAAAGAGGTGGCAACCCTAGTTACATTAGCTATCCAAGTATCCAGGGCTCATGACGTATATAAACGTTAAAATAGGTAATAGTTTAAGCTTTGGTTATAAATAATCTTGTATATTAATACGTGAAGCAAAAACTTTGTATCCCTTTTTACGAAAATTGCGCGGACGGAGGAGTATGAAATTTTCCACACTTATAGAGAATATAGAGAAGAAGTGCACAATGCTAATATTTTTTCAAAATAATGCATAAAAGATACATTAAATCAGTAAAGAAAACATTACACACACTACATACCATGTATTTGACGCACACACGCATGCATAGTATTTATTGTCAAACTTTTGTTCTTGGCGTCTGTTATCAAATTGAGAATAGATTAAATATTGTTGTTAATATTATTTACAGTGTAGTCTTGGCGAAATTAATACACTATTATGATTGTATAAAATACAATCATAATAGTGTACAAACTTACAATTCCAATTAATTATAGTCGAATTTCGACTACTGCGGTACCTCTAATAATATTTAATATTCGTGACAATTATTGAAATGACTTTTAGCATTAGTTTCGTGTTCCAAACAAATAATATCGTTATAAGTTTAAATATTATCGATTTCTCAATTAATCAATTTTGAACGGATAATCGTTTTTTTCTGGTATCTAGCCCTATTTAACAGACTATATATAGCTTTAGGACTTTTTTTTAAGGAATTTTATGACCTGGTAACTGAGACCTAAGTCATGTTTTTTTAATTTATATTACTCATATTTTTATGAAAAATGATATTATGGAGTGAAATGAAATGAAGATGATTAATTTGAGACATTAATCAACTGGGATGAAATTAAATGAAATGAATTGAGATGATATGGGATGAAATATAATCTCAGTAAAATGGTGGTCATTTACTAAGATTTTTTCAGTGGACTTTTTGGGAGGATCCCGAGAAGTTACTTCCAGCGGCTTTGTTTCATTTTCCCACATTTTTGCGCTTTCACAGATATTAAACAGTTAATAAACCACCATTATTACACATTTAAACCCGAAGAAATAGACAAAATAAAACAAATCACACAACTTCACTCCTCGCGTTCCCGCCAAAAAGTCGCCTTAGGACTATCTATTATCTTACTACAGACTATAGTCTCTTATATAGGGCCTGACACCAAATAGTCCACCCATTAAAGAAAAGAAAAAAAAAAGAATCTAGTGTTTTCTTTGACGTCAGCATTAGCCATATTTAAAAAACTATAGTGTTTACTTTGTCGTGGCATTCCACTCGTTACAATATGGCCGCTCCGAAGCGCGGGAACAAAAGAAAACAATGGCGGAAAAAAGTTTTTTTTAACTTTTTTTTTTCTCTCGTATAGAACAATGCTAGTTTCGTGTTAATCCATTATTTTTTTTATTAACAATTAATTAGGCTTTGGTGAGAAATGCAATTGAGACTTTAATATGAAAAAATTTATTAAGTAATTGTGTGAACTGAATAACTCTGCCATTGCCGGTCCCAAGCCCGGATGAGAAAACAGGAGGGTTGAGTAGAGCTGGACATTCCTACCGTAAAACGTTAACGCCGAGCACTGGGCGGCGGGAAATAACCCAGCCCCCGGATCCAACCAGAGACCCGGAGCGGGACCAGTTGCCGTGAATGACTAAATCCCTTCGAAATACTGATGTGGAAGGCCGTGGGAACCCATCACAATTACATCCCAAGAGAGTCATGGACAGAGAAACATTTAAACTGTTTGAATGCCATGACCACGACCCTCAGTAATGAGGAAACCGACGCAAGGAGGAGGAGTGAACTGAATATCGACGTGTATTGAATAGTGTATGTATTATAACATTTTAATTAAATTTCGTGTTTAAAGACCGCTGCGTCGTCTCAACCTAACAAATAATAATAATAATAACTGTGAATAAATCACGCACGGTCATCTGGCCCCAAATTAGGAGTCGCTGTGTTATGGGTACCAAAGACTGACATACACAGTTTTTATTTATTTATTTTTATTGCTACATGGTTGGACGAGTTCACAGCCCACCTGGTGTTAAGTGGTTACTGGAGCCCATAGACATCTACGACGTAAATGCGCCACCCACCTCGAGATATAAGTTTTAAGGTCTCAAGTATAGTTACAACGGCTGCCCCACCCTTCAAACCGAAACGCATTACAGCTTCACGGCAGAAATAGGCAGGGCGGTGGTACCTACTCGTGCGGACTCAAAAGAGGTCCTATATCACCATTATATAACACACAATATTTCTTTACAGCGGTCTTTTTTTTTTATTTTTTTATTGCTTAGATGAGTGGACGAGCTCACAGCCCACCTGGTGTTAAGTGGTTACTGGGGCCCATAGACATCTACANCTCTCATTATTGTATTTTCATATATTTGTTAGTCGTTTGTTTTGTGTCTCGTTAATTTGTTAATAATCTGTAGTGTATCGTGTTGTCGTAATATAGAACTATTTCTCGTATTGTTTCGTTTAATTTTTTATATCCAGTAAACTCCAGTCGTGCGTCGGAGCGGACACACACACTTTTTTTTTTTATTGCCCTTGTAGGCAGTCGAGCGTACGGCCCACCTGATGGTGAGTGGTTACCATGGACTTCAGCAATGCCAGGGGCAGAACTAAGCCACTCATGACGTATATAAACGTTAAAATAGGTAATAGTTTAAGCTTTTGTTATAAATAATAACATTTAATATGCATGACAGTTATTGAAATGACTTTTAGCTTTAGTTTCGTGTTCCAAACAAACAATATCGTTATAAGTTTAAATATCATCGATTTCTCAATTAATCAATTTTGAACGGATAATCGATTTTTTCTGGTATCAAGCCCTATTTAACAGACTATATATAGCTTTAGGACTTTTTTTAAGGGATTTTATGACCTGGTAACTGAGACCTTTAAGTCATGTC